ACCTCCTACACTGAGAGTCTCCCGTACCACTCCTGGAAGGGGATAGGGATCAGGCACTTGGTCCCTCCCAGACAGCCTCCTCTGTCTTTGAACAGCTCTGGCTATAAGAAAATGCTTCTTTGGACGGAGCCAAAATCGATTTCTCTGTAACTTCCTCTCATTTGCGTGATGGAAAGAACGCCGGGCTTAGAGTCAGATGCCTTGGGCTCATGTCCCAGCCCTTCCACTTAATGGGGTTCTGACCACCAGCTAGCTGCTCCTCTGGGCCTGTTTTCCCAGGTGAAAATAAAGGAATTGGATGAGAGGAGCTCTAGGTCCTTCCTGGTTTGGACATTTCAGGATCATATAATTCATGATTGTGTGTGTAATGCACACTTATCTGATTATAATGATGGAAACAGTGAAAGAGCAGACACTGTGTTCCAAGGAACAGATCTGCTTCTGCCAACATGTCTGTCAGGGTGGGGACCCTGCCAGCTGAGAAGAATCCAGAAGGTTCTTAGAAATGGAGTTCTCATCTTGTCTTAAAACAAACCCCTCTCTCCCTCCTTCACTTCCCTCTCCTCTTTTCCTCTACCCTCTCTCCTCTATTCTTTCCTCTCTTCCTCCTCAATTCCTTTCTGATTCAGAACCATGAAGGGATATTTCAACCTCCCAATCAAAGTTAAAGATCATGTCCCTGGTGACACGTGTCTCACATTGCACTGAGTGTGCAGAATTAATTTGTTTCAGGAATAGGGAAAGCTGTGGAAACATGACGCAGAGCTGCTTCCTGTCTGTGGGAGTCTCTCCAATGTGGCTGCTGGCATCCCAGCTCCTGAGGCTGTCCTCAGGCCCACACGAAGACTTTCACAGGGCTTCTGAAATTGGATGTAAATCTGTGCCTTGCTTGTGTATGTACATGTTCTAGGAAAAAAGGGCCTGTGAGAGAGAAGATAACTGGGTGTTAGACTGGGAGCCAGGCTTGGTGATCCTAGGAGTTGACCTGGTTGGTATTCAGAGTCAGGCTGTGCTGACATCATGGAACACAAAGACATCACATCAGACACAATGATGCAGGATGAGAAAAAAAAGAGACTTTTCCATAATCATGTTTGAGTAGAAAATAAGAACATTATCCAAACCTCAAAAACGATCAAACACGCCCACTTTCCTGGCTAATGTGAGTGACTGCTACTTCTTTTCCTTCAAGTTAGGTAAGAATTCAGATACTCATTCATAGGATGACTCCTACTTCCTGAGAGCGTCCAATCCAGAGCAAAGCCCTGCTTCCTTAAACCTTCCCTAAAGGAATCCATCACAAGCCCAAATCCTATAAGAATTCCTCTCTCACATCCTTTTCTGAGAAGCTCTGTGGTTCCCTTGGTGTTTGTTCTCTTTCACTGCAGAGCCAATAAGCTCTGTTTTGTTCACTCGCCACATCTCTTGCCTTATTTATTGCAGTAAATTTCCTGCACTGTAAATTTACTCCTACTGTCACCCCTCTGCTCAAAATCTTGCAGTGGCTCCCCTTTCCCTCTGAATAAAGCTATTACACTTCCATGATCTGCGTGATCTTTTCCCTATGCCCTCGCTGGCTTCCTCTCTCCACCTCCCTCCCTGGTTACTCATTCTGCCTCTATTACACCAGCCCCCTGGCTCTTCCCATAAGACACCAGGCTTGCTCCTGCTTCAGGTGTGGGGATTTGGTGCTCCCTCTGCCTGGAACACCCATCCCATAGGTGACCACATGGCTCCTTCTTTCGCCACCTCCAAGTCTCTGCTCAGGTATCACTTTGAAACCTACTCTGACCAGATCACTCTATTTAAAACTGGTGATGGGTATGGGTCGTGATGAGCACTGGGTTGTTATACGCAACTAATGATTCATTGAACACTATATAAAAAACTAATAATGGACTGTATGGTGGCTAACTGAACATAATAAAAAAATAAAATATAATAAAGTTTTTAAAGTTAAAAAAAATAAAACCTGCAACACCTCCCTTGAACACTCCCCAGCACCCTTACTCTACTCTCCTCTTCTTTTCCCCAAGCTCTATCCCCTTCTAACAGTCAGGGTCAGATGCATAACTATTGTCTTTATTGTTCATGGTTTGTCTCCCCAGCTGGAATCTAAGGTCCATAAGGGTGGGAATCTGGGTACCAAGTGCCTAGAATTGGCCTTGGCCTACAGTTACTAAATCAAGACATATTTGTTGGATGTTGCTGAATAAACTAGCATCACAGAGGGTGGAAAGTAAGACTGGACAGGACATTGGCTCAGAATCCATCACTGAGAAATATGGAGTGGGGTCGCCTGCCTTAAACTTGGCTCATTGTCAATTCCATATGTTTTCTGAAGACAGAGTTTCCTAAACATCAGTCTTGTACATGCCAACCTCATGATTTTTTGCCCTAAGAACAACCTATACTTTTGTTTACTTAAAACTTTTCCTTAAATAGACTTACTTTTTGATAAATACATTTATTTTCAAAGAAAATTGTATATTACAGCTTTGAGGTGCTAGTTGTATTTTTTTTCAAATACACGTTAAACCTATAGATGAATCACTCTATCATACACCTGAAACTAATATAACACTGTATGTTAACTCACTGGAATTAAAATAAAAACTTAAAAAATTAAATGTATGGCTATTAAATGAGTAGGCTTCCTTTGTAGCTCCTAAGTCTTCTTACTACCCCAGTGGAAACCTGCCTATGCTTTTCCCTTCAACCACAAAGATCCTTCTGCCTCCCTCTACCTATGCAAATCCTGCACGCCCTTCTTCAGGAGGGCCTTAGGAAGCGCCCCGCCCCATTCTCGCACTCATGCCCTTCGCCGAGCTCCCCTCATACTCATAGGAAAAAAAACACACGCCCTTCTTCCATGCCATGTGGTTCTGTTTTCTGTTCCCCAACGTAAGATTGTAAAATATCTTCTTAGAGCTATAGAAAGGCCTTTGACTATGCAACTCCTTGTTTGACAGGCCATCAAAGAGATGAAGAGGCTTGCCCCAAGTCCCTGCGGGGGCAAAGTCAAGACTGCACTTGGACCTTCTGATGCCCCATTCTCAGTGGAATCAACAAACACTTAATGAGTCCCTGCCATGTGCCCAGCATTGCTCACCACAGCAGAGATAGTGGTGAAAAGAACAGATCCGGACTTGCCCACGCAGAGCTTACAGTGGTGCTAGGAAGCTGCACACTAAATAGACACTTGTACGTGCTTAGAGAAGTAGTTGCAAGTGACTTGGAAGAGAAATGCAGGGTTCAGGGGGGACCCCAGACTGTGTGGAGGGTTGTGAAAGCCTCACTAAAAAGCACGTTAAAATGCACAAGAGTGAGTGCAAGAGGAGCTGGTGGATTTCTAAATGGTACCAGGCTAACTCAGGAAGACATGGTTTGATGTTGGAAAGTTCCACTGCACAGGGGTTAATTAGATCACTTTGGCCCAGTCTCTTTGCCACAGGGCTCAGGGAGAAGGCTACCCATCAGCTCAGAGACTTTGGTGCCTCCCGGCCCTGCATTCAGCAAGAAGGTGACAGGAGATGCTTCAGGTCTGCTCTGGAGGGGGACACCTCACCCTTGCTGGGCACAGTTCAGGCATATTCGACACATGGGTTGTTTTTGCCAAGGGAGTGCCTACAATGTGAGCTTGGTCATTAACAAAAATAAATTCTTAGCTCCTGGAAGTGGAAAATATTATTACCTACAAGGCACATTGTAAACCTTATGTCATTTCACCTAAGTGGTAAAATGCAGCTTTTTCAAGACGGGAATGCATTTTAGTCACCATCAGTACTATATCCAGAGTTTCTCTTCATGTTTTCTTGTGAGATTTCGGTGCACCTTGTTAAACTCTACCTAAGAAACTCCAGCCACATCCCACATTGGTCTTAGAAAATTAAACCTGACAGGGGCGCCTGGGTGGCTCAGTGGGTTAAAGCCTCTGCCTTCGGCTCAGGTCATGATCCCAGGGTCCTGGGATCGAGCCCCGCATCGGGCTCTCTGCTCAGCGGAAGGCCTGCTTCCTCCTCTCTCTCTGCCTGCCTCTCTGTCTACTTGTGATTTCTGTCAAATAAATAAATAAAATCTTAAAAGAAAGAAAATTAAACCTGACAAGCAAAGTACTGGTGTAATGATGTGAAGAAGGATGTGTGTGGACTGAGAGGAACTGGGGTTTGTTCTCCAGCTCTGCCATTTACTAGGCTGGAAAAAAGGCTTGACTCTTCCGAGTTTCAATGTCCTCATCCATAAAGTGAGGTTCATAAGAATCCCTGCACCTTGTGAGGTCCTTGAGACATTAAATGGGAATCTAGGCGAAAATTCTTTCAGGAGGTCTAAAGTGCTTACAAAATGTCATTTAAAAATGAACGTCCTATTGCAAATCTTCTTTTCCAAAGTTCAGATGGGCTCAGAGACCTGGTTAGGGCCAGAGGAAAGGTCTCTTGATTCCCACTTGGTTTCTCTTCCCTGGGTTGCAGCATTAAGGTTTGCCTTCCAGGGTAGCAATTCCTGGCAAGAGCAAGTCGCTGGGGGAAATGACTAAGTGCTGGGAGGGAGAGGCAGGGAGGAGTGGGATCCCCATGAAGGTAAGGAATGGACACTAGGAGGGGAGATACCAGGGCAGAGGCTCCTACCTTCCCAGTTTGCTGAAGGCTCTGACATTAGGTCTTCTCAGGTCTCCGTCGCTACCTCTGTCCACCTTTCAACTTGCCTGACTGTGCGTTTGAAGCAGCCCTAGCATAAAATAACATGCTTTTTCATTTTTTGCACATTTTGAAAGCAAAGTCAGGGTTTAACGATCAATATTCTGTTCCTTGGTATTTTCTTTCAAGCAAAGGCCATGTTATTGTAAGATACTACGTTTCAATGGGGCTATTCTTTCGTCCCCAGCAAACATTCCTGAGTGGCAGGTTTTAGGAGGCGCTCCAATTTTTATTGCTTCTGGTGTCTGATAACCTTGGCAGGAGTACTTGTCTCCATGCCCCCCAAGGCCACAGTATTTCAGAAAGTTACAGTTCTTAAAATCGTTCTTTAATAAAAGCAAGTGCCACTAATCCTAAATAAAGCGAGCTTTCCAAATAAGACCAGCTGTGAATGTTTAAAAAAAGAAAGAAAGGAAAGGAAGACACTTCAACAACAGGAGTCCACAGTGAAAACTGTGCATAGTTAAACCTCTTCAGGCGTTTTCACATTCATTTAAAAAGATGTCTTCAGCAAACCTATCCAAATTCTCCACAAATGCTGAGCACATGGGGCATGTGGTGTTTGTAGGCCAATATTCAATCCAGGTTGAGGAATCTAAAGGGTAGATGTACCTGCCAAGAAAAAACGACAGTGAAATGGTTGTGGCGATGGCCACAGACAGAGAAGAGCTGAATTCCACAAAGCTCAGCCTGCTTATGCTGTCCAGGCCCCAGGAGGCCATGCTGTCAGCCAGGCTCTGCTGCACTGGCCTCCCCCTGGGAAGGACCACAAACCCCCAAATCTCAGGAAGCCACTTGAGAGCTCCCACAATTAAAGGCAGGAATGGTATCTGTTTCAAGAACTATTATTTATTTAAAAAAAAAGATATTTATTTATTTGACAGAGAGCAAGAGAATACAAGCAGGCAGAGCAGCAGAGGGAGAGGGAGAAGCAGTCTCCCCACCCAGCAGGGAGCCCGAAGCTGGCCCAACCCTAGGACCCCGGGATCATGACTTGAGCCAAAGGCAGTCACCCAAACAACTGAGCCACCCAGGTGCCCCTCAAGATCTATTTTTTAAAAAGAGACAACAAAATGCGTATTTAAACATTTCTCTCTTTACAAAGAGAACAGTCTGAGAACTTACTGAGGGGGCAGATATGGTATTGAGGGGGTTGGGTGAGCACCTTCAGAGGCACCCTTAGACCCGGGTCCTCACTTGGTTTATTCGTCAGTGAGTGCTCAGTCGCCCTTCATGGTTTTAAGTGGCTCTTTGTTTTAAATTCCCATTGTTTCACTGATTCTTGGCCTTATGGCTAAGATCAAGTGTAAATTCACATTATTGCGTTCAGGCTTCTAATGGTTTGTTGGTTAATAGCCTGACATATAAGAAACGTGCAGTTAAGAATAAATGACACCTAGTTTTGAAGGAAAGATCAGAAACTCCAAAATGACTTACCTGAAACTGAAATTGTATTTTATCTGGAGGGCTTCTTTACCCATAATTAAATACTGTCTTCCTTTCTCCAGATCAGCGTTGGTACACGTGGCCTTTTTAATGAAGGTGACTTCAGAGTCCTTCTCTGCAACAGCTTCACCTGAGAGGCACACAAGTAAGATTATCACATTCATGTTACGATGTCACGAGCATAAACTCTTAATAATTCCAGTTCCTCGTGGCTAATTATTGAGTATAAACTTAATATTAAAGTGGCTATTAGAGAGTGACAATGCCCATATGGTTAAGACTTTGGAACCAGGCTCTCGGCCATTTGCCAGCTGTGTGGCCCTGGACAAATGAGGCTCAGACCCATCATCTGGAAAATTGGGAATGACAATAAAACCCACCTTCTTAGAACTGTCGGAATACATGAGAAGTGCTTACAACACAGAAAGCACGATATTAGTGCTTCTTACTATTACTTCTTTAGAACCAGGAATTAAAAGAACTTCTCTACGGTTGAACAACATTAATCTCCACTCGTTATATAGTAAAATAAAAAAGTATTTGGCAGCTGGCAATGGATAATTTTGTAGAGAAGTACAAGACATGTGAAAGACTCTGGGGGATTTGAAAGAGGATAACTTTGGAATTCTCAAAGAACTCAGGAGTAGTCAAGAAGGTGGCTCCCTTACATAGAATGCATTCCTTCCCATGCTGTCCTGTTGCATTTCTACCCATCTTGAAACACATCTTCAATTCTCGAGGTATCCAGTAAATACTCCTGGATGTTCTTTGTCATAAATATCTCTCGGTCTCTCCTCCACTCCCCTTACACTTGAATTTCTATCACAATGTTTCATTCCATTTATCTGTCTTCAGCTAGGCAGGAAACTTCTTGAGGCAGGGACTGGGTCTGACTCGTTGCTATAGATTCAGGACTGATGATAGTTATTTAACTCTGACAGAGTGATCCTAATTATTGAATCCTGAAAAACTTCTGAACATATGCTTCATAGTAACTGCATATATGGTAAGCTTCAATTAGTGATATTTAATAAGCATGCACACATCAGTTCCAGCTGGTTTTCTTACACCCTCCTGATGACCTTCAGGACATGACTTCCCCTGGCAGCAACATCTAAGCAGCATTCCCAGCGCTGTTTACCAGTTCAGCCCCTGTGATCGTGAGAAGGGTGGCTGCTGGGGCCTTATCATTGTTTTTAAAAGCCTTTTGTTATAAAACGTCTCAAGCATATTTGGAAGAGGGAATAGTTAATTAACCTCAGCTTCCACAATCACTGATCTTTTTTTCCATTTATATTGTCACTCAGAGCACCCTGTATTTTAAGGGAAACACCAGTTTATCATTATCCTTGAACTGCCTATTTGCCCTCTATTCTAAATAGCTTAGTTTTTAGCTTGGCTTATTGTTCATGTGCAGCAATTTTTGGGTAAGTGGTAAATGTGTGGTGTTCTGATATTTATATACATTTGAAATTTATACAATTAAAAAAGGAACACCTGGAATGAAGAGATAATGAAGTATGCAAACATTTCTAACATTTCCTTTTAAATGTCATAAATCTGAATAGACAAAGAACAAAAGAAATAGAAAGAGAACAAAGAAGAAATCATATTGATAAAGAACTACAGCTTGGGAATCATCTCATACTGCACAACATTCAGAACAGCCTGGGATGTCTTCTGATACTACGTAAGAATTAGTAGAAAATAAGACAAATAACTTGTATTTCTGGAATGAAGAACACTTGATTATTTCAGTAAAAACAGGAATGGTTTATTCTTCCTTATAATGTGAAAGCTGGGTGCAAATGGCATTCAAAGTTAGACAGCGAAAAGATCAGAGTGCTAAAGACATATTTTCATCAGAATGACAACCATGATTCAGAAAATTTGTGATCATCAATGAGAAAAAAACAGGTTAACACCACAAATCAATCTCATACAATAAAACATTTGAAAATAATAAAAACCAGAAACACATTTTTACGAGAGTATCGATCAAGCAAATCAAGATTTGGAAAGTATTATTAGTCTATTGCTAAAAATGATGTAGCATTTTCATACTTGAAACACTTGATAGAATTTCAAAAGAGAAGAAAATCAATATAAACATAAAGTTGCAATTTAGGTTTACACTCCTACTTATTGCAAAATTTATAACTAGTGAAATGAGAACACAACTTTTTGGTATATGTGCTGTCAAAGCGAGCACTGAGAACACAACTTTTTGGAAAATATAAATAAGGTGATAAAATTTCAACCATTATTGAAAAAAATCAATGAATATAAAAAGTGTTTAAAATAATGTAAAATAAAAAATTGGGGACTTTGAAGGTCATTTAATGGGTTTTGCTGATTTCAAGGTACTGGAAAGAACAACTGAACAACTTATCAAACTGTTGGAGAGAAAAGGAGTCAATGAGGAATACTTATGTGAACACCTTATTGGTGCAAATAGATTGCCAGGGAAGAGTCCAGTTTCAGCAAAAGTTCTGAAGTTCCCAGCTGTTCAATTAGGTGTTGACTGAATTACCTATCAAGCAGGTATCAAGTGTCTCTGGACACCACAAAGATAGGAGCCAAGGCAGATTATCTCACTGTAACTACTTCTTTGTAAGGTTAGTGTTCTGCATATCTAGGCAGAATTAAGTAATAATAGGAAAAGCTTTAAAAATTTCAACAATGAAAAAATTGCAATAATGAAAATTGGAAAAATATTGGAATTTTGGCAGGAAGCTGGTAGTGCTAGAATCACAAAGGCAGTTTGGAAATCATGTCGAGCCTTGAGTGATTCACTTTGATAGATATTGTGGTATAGAAGCAAATATTTACAAAGTGGATAGATATGCTTTTTGGTGACTTGCTCATGATAGTCTAGCAATTGTGTCAATACAGTCTTCAGATGTTCAATAAAATATATATCAACTTTAATAAGCTCACAGGTTAGAGAATGAATGGTGAAATCGTATAAAAATAAAGGAAACTATGAAAGTGGAACAAGCTTTTAGCAAGATAAAAATGATTATAAATTTGATATAAAATGAAATCAAACCACTTAAGGGAAAAGCTAATTATATGAAAATGTTTTTGTTTTAATGGCAAAAGTAAAAAATAGGATGAACTTTTAAGTTTTTTAAAAAAATTGTGAATCCTAAAACTTTGTCTATGATGTTTGTAAAGCTCTCAGGGTTAAAGGGGAATAAAAATTAAGAAAGTTAGGAAAACAAAATATTCAATAAATTTTCAAATTTCAAAAATTCAATAAATTGTTATCATGACTTAGCTGATAATAGAGATACACTGAATACATAAAAATGTCATACAGTGTCCAAAGGACCGGAAACATTTTGAATGCAATTTCTACCAATTGAGTGGAAGCTGAGAGAGACTTCAGGACCACAGATAGTACCTTTGCTATTAGGAGGTATTACTTATTGAGATTATAGGTTTTGTAAAGACTATCAATTCGATAAAGATATAATCGGAAGTTTGATGTGGTTCTTATTGTCAAATCAGAGCTCAGACAGGGGCAATCCTATAGTGAGTCAAGCAAAATAAGACTGACAATTTTTAAAACTAAAAAGCTTATTTGCAATTATTAGAATTATTTAATGAACCATTTGTGTGACTATATAATTTGACAAGAAGTTTTATAATATTTATAGCTTAGTTTTATTAGAGAATAAAAGGCAACATATTTTAAAATGTTTTATATTTTTTTACATGTGAATTCATTTTATTGTATTGGTTATTAAATGTCTCATTTATCCTCACATGGCATCTAACCCACAGCTTTGTACTTCATAGATGCTCTTAACTGGTTTCCCTGTTTCTACTCTTGATCTCTCCCACAAAAGAAGCCAGAATGATCTTTTAAAACCATAAATCAAATCATCTTGTTTGCCTACCTCAAGCCTTTTGTTAGCTTTTCTTTGGACTTCTAGAATAAATCTAAATATCTTGTCATGCGTTATAAATCCTTGTATGACCCAGCTCCTGCCTACCTCTCAGCTTCATCTCATACTAGTGTCTTCCTGCCTCTGACCCCCTCTGGGGTTCTTCAGCTGAAGATGGTGCCAGGTTACTTGCTATCTCAGGGCAGTTGCATATTTGGTTCCTTCTTCACCCCACCCCTCTAAGAATGGCTAACTCCTAATATCACTCCCAAAAGATGCCATCTGTTATCACACTGAAGGAGTTTCCCACATTAATTACATGTCTCAAATATAATACTTGTTATGATTTAGAATTATTTGTTCATTGTCTTTCTTTCTTTCTTTCTTTCTTTCTTTCTTTCTTTCTTTCGTTCTGTCTCTCTTTCTTTCTTAACATGTCTCCTTGAACAGAATATAAATGTTAATAAGGCAAGAACTCTGGCTGTGTTATACAAGTTGTATTCTCTGTGTATAATACAATGCCTAGTCTATCAATATAATGCCTCATTAATGGCACATAGTAAGTACTAAATACTTGTTGAGTGAAAGAATGAATGAATGAATTCTCACCAGCTTTGTAGATATCCAGGAGGGTTGCAGTGTATTTAATGAAGACATTTTCTTCAGTGATAGATGTGAGACGAACTTTATAAACTGGTAGAAGAAACAACACAAGAATTCATGCTTAATATCGCAAATGCCATGTCCAGTAGACGCCAGAGTTTGTCAAACAAATGAGAAATGAGGAATAGCAAGCTCTTATGGGTTCCCTGAGGTAAATCTCATTTCTTCCAAAAAGTCTTCCTAAGTACTCCCAATCTGATTCTGCTAATCATACTAATGATTTATTCTGCTAAGAATCATTAGCCCTAGCCACTGTTATAGAACAGGCTGATTACGATAAGAGCAGCATTAAATTAAAGGAGAGAAGCACACTAAACAGACAAGATGTGTCTTTGTTAGATGTAAAGTTCAGATTTTGATCCTTTAAGATTAGTGGAGTCATGCCCATGGGGAAGGTGGGAGAGCCCCTTCCTTTTCCATTTGTTCACATAGGGGCCTTTATCTATCATTCAGGCCTGTCCTGTGGGCCTCCTGTTCCCTTGCCTGGATTGTTTGGATTCCTCCCATGGCTCTGATCTTTGGATTTTGATAGGATTTGGTCTTCTGACTCATCTTTGCTGGGATTAGCAGCTATCTGACATGAGACATTCTGTATCCAGCTTTCTCTTCATTCAGGCATCAATTTTTAACCCATGGTATTTGATCTCAGGTTTGGAATGAGCAGCTTGAAGGGACTGATCCCTTCGATGTAGTCTAAGAAAAGATCCTTTCATTTTTGCTTTGGTAGAGTTGAAGTGAATGACCCAAAAGGTTTGCCCATTTTTGAGATTCCAGCTAGCTAGATGAATGAGTGAGCTCACTGTGTCAGAACCAAAGGCCAACTGAATTAGTAGCTTAAAACAAATTTTGAAATATCCTGAATTCGGGTGCCTGGGTGGCTTCATCGGATGAGCATCTGCCTCTGGCTCAGGTCATGATCTCAGGGTCATGGAATCAAGCCCCACGTTGGGTTCCCTGCTCAGCAGGGAGTCAGCTTCTCCCTCTGCCTCTGCTACTCCCACAACCCCACCCCACCCCTATCCATGCTCTCTCTTTTGCTCACTCTCTCAAATGTATAAAAAATTTTTTTATAAAGATTTTATTTATTTATTTGACAGAAAGAGAGATCACAAGTAGGTAGAGAGGCAGGCAGAGAGAGAGAGAGAGGAAGCAGGCTCCCCACTGAGCAGAAAGCCCAATGTGGGGCTCGATCCCAGGACTCTGAGACCATGACCTGAGCTGAAGGCAGAAGCTCAACCCACTGAGACACCCAGGCACCCCAGCAAAATCTTTTTTAAAAAAATCAAGATGAATTCTATGGAAAGAAAGACTATAAACCATCTCCAATTTATTCTGATGGCTGTATTTCCAGTAAGCGAGATCAGTGTAATATAATGGAAATAATACTGGAAAGCAGGATGCATCCTAGTTTTACTACTTAATTCCTGCATGACTTTGAACAAATTATTCAATCTCCCTGAAACTTATAATTCTCTGTTACCTCAAACAGGTCTTATGGGACCCCAATGAGAAGCGATATAAAAAAGCAGTCAGTAAACACATAGTGCTGAATTAACTGTACTGAGATAATATCCTACTCTCTCTCTCTCTCTCTTTCTCTCACACACACACACACACACACACACACACACACACGTTTTGAGATAGTGTACAATATGCTCTCTTTCTCTCTCTCAAAAAAAAAGAAGCCAGAAATAAACACTAGAAACCAATTTTGATATGGTTTCTCTCATATGTGGAACATAAGAAGCAGGGCAGAGGATCGTAGGGGAAGGGAGGGAAAATAGAATGGGAAGTCATCAGAGAAGGAGAAAAACCATGAGGGACTCTTAAATCTAGGAAAAAACTGAGGGTTTCTGGAGGGGTGGTGGGTGGGGGCGTGGGGTCACTGGGTGATGGGCATTAAGGAGGGCACATGATGTGATGAGCACTGGGTGTTATATATGAAACTGATGAATTATTGAGCATTACATCTGAAACCAATGATGTACTATAAGTTGGCTAATTGAATTTAAATTTAAAAAAAGAAAGGCATAAAAAGGTTACTATCCAATATATATATAAGGAACTTACACACACACACACACACACACACACACACACACACAAATAAAGGAGCTAATTCTCTGAACTTAAGAGAAGACCACAACTGTCCTGGGCATTTGACATAGCTCTGAGCTCTGGACATCCAGAAGGAGATGCTCCTTTTGAAGCAGAGCATCGCAATTCTGCATATATTTAAAATGATTTAGTATTGATATTTTTACCTTGTCTTTGAAGGGAGTTTGAAAAAAAATTCTAAGCCCCCAAACCATCTTTGTGTCTGCCTCTGCTCAACTGACTGGAAGAATAGTGAAATCTTATACCTTCATGGCTTCTCAAAAGTTCTCTCTGTTTAATTTGATGGGCTCTAGTAGAACAAAGTGTCCTGGCTGGGTGTGTATGTCACTCTTGTCGTTTTAAATGAAAGTTACATTTCTTTGCTGAAGGATAGATAATTTTGCATGTTAATGCTGAAAATCAACATTTTCCTTCAAGGGAACGTGGAATGTAGTATCCAAATAGTCACTATAAAAAGTTGTTGCTCTCTAATGGATCATGTATTCATAAAACTTTATGTTTAATGGAACTCTATATAGAAACTTTGAACTTACCATAGGCAATGTCTGGTTTACATGCTGCTTCTTTTCTAGTATCTGGAGAGATTGTCAGATCCAATTCTGCCTGCATTTGTCCACAGTCAGCTGCATTTTGTGAAAAATGGTAAAAGTTAGTTTAACATAAAGAGGCAGACACTCGCTTTGGCAGTAAACACAGTTTTTACAAGCCCTGGCAATCCAGTATAATCTTACAAATACCATTTTTTTCCTCTTCCATAAAGTGAAACATTATATAAAGCAAAAACAAAATGAAATAAACAAAAACAAAATCTGGGACATGAGGCTTAGAATGGGTAGTCACTCCACATTCATTTCTTCTGAAATGGATATGCTTTCATTAAAGAAAGGAGGAAAATTTCCCATTTTGAGTATAATTAAAAGTCCCCTGAAGGAACCAAAATGATAACCGGACTGATTTAAAGCTATAAAATGGTACAATAAGTACCTCATATAGATATTAAATTTTTTGAAAAACAAAATAAATCCCAAACCAACCCAGACCCTCATGGAGTCAGTTGATGATTATTGAGTTTTGGGTCTTTTCCTTGACCAAGGGAAAGGACTTACAGAAGACCGAAGGGAACTGGACAATAGAGAGAGATGTCACTGAGTGTTAAGGAAAAAGAAAAAGAAAAAGAATGGGGCTAGTGGCTCAGTCCTGAGCCTCTGTTCTCTTAAGCTGTGGTCCTATTACATTAAAAAGACAAGTTGAAAAGCAAGAATTTCACATCCTGTTATTCCTCTGATATCCAACAAATTGTCTAGCAGGTGTTTCTCCGTCTCTGTACAGTAGAAACTACCAGGGTGTTCAGAAGTTGTTGAAAAGTAGTTTTACAGTATTCAAGCAATCAGTTTTCAGTCAGCTGAGATGTCTACTTCTGAGGAACAAATTTGTCAAATAGCTTCTGCCAGATTAGCCCTAGATTACAAGTCCTGCTTTAAACAAACATGCAGTCTGAGCATGTTAAATGAAGTTTACCTTCTACGCATTTGCACGTTACTCCTTCACAGACTTGCTGAAGATTGGCATGGGATGGGCTATAAAACATGGTGCATTGTTTATCTGTGGCAATGAAAGCATAGTTAGGAGAGGTGGCTTGATTAACACACAACACATTTATGGATCAGTGAGCCTCTCCCATGGGGTTTTGGAGATGACTTATTCCAAAATTTCTTTTTGTAACTTAGATGCAGGGAGATTAAACTATGCATTGCCTCTCCTGACACATGTCCCTTTACTCTCCTTCAAAATGATTTCCCCTTCTGTGCTTGAAATTTTACTGTTCAATATTATTTCTTAGAATTAAAATATTTGACACTTCCATGAATGAGAGGAAGTAAATTTTGTTACACAAGGGTCTGCGGAAAGAGCTGTAATTGTTTAGGAGAATAGAGGAAGAGGGGCCAAGTATGTTCCACGTGATTTTGGAAGATAAAACTAGAATGAATGGGTGTGAGACTTTGGTTCATTTTTAGAATTTTTTGAACAAGTAGAACTGCCTAAAATGGAGTTGTCTGTCTTGTGAACCAAAGAGCTCTCTGATTACTTAGTATTCGCAGAAAAAGCTCAGTGATCAAATGTAGGATCGTTGATTCAACATTTATTAAACAAGTTATATACCCAACACTGTGTTGATTCTGGGAGGATTAAAGAAATAGGGGGTACATGAGCTTCTCAGAAAAGGAGAGATGCAATGAATACTGTAATGAAGGCAAAGTAGTTCTCCGAAGAAATTTTAGAGTAGAGTTAATTACCTGGTCTGTGGTACTCATACACCGTGAAAGTAGCAGGACTCAGAAACCCAACTTGAAAAAGTTCAAATATCCGGAATCGAACACAAAGGAACTCATCGGAAGGAATCTGACAATTTCAAGGTTTGAGCAAATTATGGGAGAAGAGACTCAACATTTTAGCCTGCAAATTTTGAATAGTGACTGGAAATGGGGACTGATGGAGGTGGAACTTACCGAATTCAGTTGCAGAATAATATGTCCATCTTTGATTTGATAATCAGTTAGTAGCTGATCTACCCCTTCCACAAGCTGAGAGAGGAAAGAGAAAGCTTGGATTTAATTTCATGATTTTTTTTAAGTTGATCTTTTTGTTTAAATGCATTCACCCGATATTGGGATGTTAGACGTGGGGAAGTAATCCACTATTCAAAAAAGTCGAAGAGCAGATCCTCATCTTGAAAAAGTCTGAACATGTAATTCTATGCATTTACATTTTGTTCAGACCATGCAAATATATGCTCCCACTTTAATTTGGAAAATTAAAACTTAGGTAGATTATTGGTTTGGAAAGAATATTCTAGGTGATTCTATGAAAGTGATATATTAAAATACATTATATTTTATTATATATATTATACACATAATTATACATATGTAATTTAATAAATTATAAAATACATTAAAATGAAAGGAAATAGCTTTATCTGTAAAAGAATGTAGTAAAGAAAACCAAGCATCCATAACAATATGTAAAAGAGAACATTTACAACTCTTAAGTCTTCTGCGTTTGCACTGATTCCGGTAGGCAAAGAGATATCCATCACTGCATGGGAAGACCCAGATGATGATTCTTCTTTGCTGGGCTTGTAGCTAAAATAAATGAGAGATCAGAAATGGAAAAAATAAGTGGACAAGATTCTTTAAGAAAAGGCCTTATTTCTTAGTAGGTTTTAATTTTTTTTAAAGATTTAATTTATTTATTTGAAAGAGAGAGAGAGAGATCACAAGTTGGCAGAGAGGCAGGCAGAGGGGGAGGGAGAAACAGGCTCCCTGCAGAGCAGAGATTCTGATGCGGGGCTTGATCCCAGGACCCTGAGATCATGACCTGAGCAGAGGCTTAACCCACTGAGCCACCCAGGCACCCCAGTAGGTTTTAATTTTTAATTTGCATCTGCCCTTACTTGCCTCTCTATAATACATGCATTGCAACCTCTAAATGTTAGTGTTGCAAGAGATCTTAGAGTTACCTATTCTAACTCTTTGCTCACCTCACCAATACTTTATTCAGAGAGCGAGCGTGAGTGGGAGGGGGAGAGGGAGAAGGAGTGAGAACCCCAAGCATACTCTGCCCTGAGTGTGGAGCCCAATGCGGGGCTCTATCTCACTACCCTAAGGTCATGACCTTGAGATCATGACCTGAGCCAAAACCAAGAGTCAGACCCTTAACCAAAGCGCCACCCAGGCACCTCTTGACTGATATATATTTTTTTAAGACTTTATTTATTTATTTGACAGAGAGAGAGAAAGCAAGGTCAGGAACCCAAGCCGGGGAAGTGGGAGAGGGAAAGCAGCCTTTCCACCAAGCAGGGAGACAGACGCTGGGCTTGATCCCAGGACCCTGAGATCATGACCTGAGCTGAAGGCGGACACTTAACAGAGCCACCCAGGTGTCCCTTGACCGATACTTTAAATGGACCTGTAGAGGTCATTCAGCCCAAGCTTTTAAAAAACTAGTTGAGGAAACTGAGGATGACAGTAAGGTACTTGTTCAAGGTCACATGACTAGTTCACCTCAGAGCTGCATAAATCTCTTGATTCTCATTCCAGTTTTTTTTCTAATGCAGCACCCGTGAAAAAGAAAATTTGTTCTATATTCAAAAGCGACGCAATAAACATGTTTAGGAAAAAGCTTGAAGGAAATACCCTAAAATGTTAGCAGCTACTCTCTTCTGGATGATGAAATTGTAAGTGATTATCTCTTTTTTTTCCATGCTTTTCTATACTTTCTAAATTTTCCACAATAGATATTTATTTTAAAGAAATGTTTTAAGGACTATCCTCCATCTAGGAATTGTGCTCAGGAGGAAGCTAAGGAAAAAGGCAAAGGGGGTAAAATGAGAGATTTGGTGTTTTTTTTGTTTTTGTTTTTTTCTGATAAGAGAAGAAACAAAAAAAGCCACTAAAATGGGGAATCAGGAAAATTGGGTTTTACCCCAGTTCTGCTGAGAGATTTCTACAAATTGTTTTTTCCTTTCTGGAGTTCATTTTCTTGATAAAATAAACTGTGAAGAAGTATAAACTTGTGTTTCAAGTTTACCTTTATAATTCTAAGGCTTTGTTTTAAGAGGCAGAGGTTAGTGCTGCCATTAAGTGTAATCAGAAGATTTAAAAGGGGTAAGTTGGCAGGTCAGGGGCTGAAGTCCAGGGATGGGGGCAGAGCGAGGGCGGTTCTACAAAGCTTGAGTTTCAGGTTCCAGCTTCATCTCAAGATGCTTGAGAGAAGGCTGGACATTTGAGAGTGGAGCCTGGAAGATCTGTCAGGATTAAAGTAAGAAACTGGGGAGACAGCTTCATAGTGGGAAGATAAACTGATTTCACCTGAAGGAATGAGTATTAGTTAAATGGGAGGTTTTATGTGAGTTAGTGAGGTGGCAGGGGATCTCTTTTCCCCAATCACACCTATTGGGGCAGACCCTATTAGATGTTTTGTTTGTAATATTTACTGTAATAATTAAAGATATCATAAAATCTCTGGTTTACAAAAATTTAGTCCCATTCTTCACAAAATTAACAATTAACAACAGACTATAAGACAAACTGGAACTGTAAAATGACATCTGGACATCTCCCTAATTGGATGGGTGAGTATCACCAGGAGCAGAGAACTCTTGCTCACAGATGCAAATATTCTGTCAACAGAATGGAAAAAGGCCTCCTGAGTGGAGAATGTCTATGAAAAGTTGCTGGAGCCTTGATGACTGGTTGCCATGGTGACTGTTTCAACCATGGAACAGAAATGTTCCTTTCGAGAAGCCCTTTGCCAAAAACAGCAATCTCCCCCAAAGGCATTTTGTTCAGAGAGAAGGAGAGAAATGAAATCCTTTTTTCTTTTCTTACGGATACAACAGAGAGGTTGTAAAAAGCTAACTACAGGAAAGAGACCCCCTGAATACAGAAACTGTATGCAGGCATTTTTTTAAGTCAGGAGAGAGAATATTTGAAGGCAAAGATTTTTTTTCACATGAATAAGTACTACACAGTTACTTTTGGACTTTATCCAACCTACTTTAACTTCACAGAGCCAAAGCATATTCTACCTGGCTTTTTTGAACATTCTGTTCCCAACTGGTAAAAGCCAAAAAAATTAGAAAATTCAATATTACATCTCTATTTGCTTTCTTTTGTATATTAACAATCTGGAATTAGGCCTCCTGTCAATGAATTTAAATGAATGAGTTTTTGATAAGAGCCTTTTCATGTATTGCAGAGTTGTGGGACATAAGAACTGAAAGACACTTGGAGAACAGATAGTTTAGTATCCCTGCATTACAGAAGAGGCCCAGAGAAGCAAGCCGATTTGCCACAGGTCACTTGAGTACTTCATGGTAGAGGCTACCCCCAGGGGTCCCACTGATCCATCAGAGCCCTCCTTTGTGCCCACTGTAGGGTCCCATGGAGTGATTCTGGCCCCGCCTTCAACAAGTCTGCTCACATCTCCCTGTGACTGATGTTTGGAATTTAAACACAACTGTGATCATGCCTCCTCCTCCAGAAGAGAGGTACCCAAGTGCAGAAATGGCAGTTAGGAGGGTGGGAAAGGGAAACCTTAGCAGGAAGACATGAGGGAATGAGGAAGGGTGTTTGAGAGGGAACAGAGGGCAGAGACTGTCCAAGGACGGAAGGAGGTATTGTGAGCAGGCTGGCCAGTGCGGGAATCCTAAAAAAGGAGAGACTGGACAAGGATAGGAAATGGCTGGGAAGGAGGTGGTGAGAAGCAGTGTGACTAAAGGAGGTGGTTTAGATCCTGACCTGAGTGTCAAGGTCTGGGGCTTGAGGCCCTGCCTCTACCTCCAACTCTGTGAGAACTCAGCAGGTCACCTCACCTCTTTGTGTTTCAGCTTCTGGGTTCACTGTGTCATCCCCCCAAATCCTTTTCTGCTCTAATCTATTATACAGCTCTACGGAATTTCTAAGTTCTTTGACATCATCTGTGATTACATGCAAAATCAGCAGAATACCAACCACAGAAATCAGTTGGTGAGAATATGAAGAGTTAAGGAAACAGCACAACAGGAGGTACTGAGAGGTTATGAAAGGAAGAGGGAAGAAGTCTGTGTTCTAATCATGGGTCCACCACTGTTTCACTCTGTGTGATTACTAAGGTACGTGTACATAATTTAAAAAACCTATGCTTTTAAAAAAAGATTTATTTACTTATTTGAGAGGGGGGAGCACTAGCGGGGGTGGGGGGAAAGGTAGAGAAGAGGAGAGGGAAAGGGGAGCAGAGGCGGAGGGAGAAGCAGACACCTCGCTGAGCAGGAAGCCCAACGTGGGGTTTGATCCCTGGACCCTGGTTCTCAAGGCAGGCTACCATCAGAATAACCTATAGGGGTAAGGCCAGAGTTTTGGATAGTTCTAAAAGCCCTCCAGCTGACTTCCATGTGCAGCTGAGTTGAGAACCACTGGCTAATAAGGGCTAGGGATTTTGCTGGGTGAATATGATTTTTCTAAGTAGGAGAGTAGAAGCTGCTTATAAGAAAGTCTTTTTCTTTTTCTTTTCCTAATACTTCAATCTCCTCTCTACCTTTCTGGAAGATAGCAAAAAGATAATATTATAGTGTTTGAATAAAAAGGCCAAAAGTGGGAGGCCAAAAACTATGAACAAAAACAAAGCAGTTTTACAAAGTAGCTATCTAAGAACAAACATTATGTCTTGCACTTTAAAAAGCGCACAATTTTGCGTCTTCCAGCCATTTTAAAATTCAAGAAGATGTAAAGACATAATAGAATGGCACAACCCAGACCTTGAAGTCTTCACTCCCCTTTGTGAAAACAGGCTTACCTGGCACAGGCCATGATGCGCTTGTAATCCGAGTCACCATAGCCTCTGTAGCTGGATGCTAGCACACATGACAAACAAGCAAACAAAATGACGGTAAACCATTTTTAGCTGTTTTGCACCCGTTAGAACAAAATAATTAGTGAAAAGGTCTCTGAACACAGTTAAAAATGATTTATGACTTGAAAATTGACACTTCTGGTGATTTTAATGGAAATTCATGGCTACTGACAATATTAATAATTATAACAGTTCTTTGCTCTCAAAGAACTTATAATTTAAGGAAGGAGTTATTTAAGGTAGCATGTTTGGAGAAGGTTGTAGGGAGAAAGAGCTGATGCCTGGATTCACTGGTTGCTAGAAATCCCCTAACCCTTGTAGGGATAGGTCTTTGAGCCACACATCGAAGCTCTCAGGGCAGAAGAAAGCACACCCTCTGATCTTGGGGCCGTGGTTCGAGGAGGACTACAGGGAGCAAGAGGACTTGCTTTTGAAATGGAGGGGAGAACCAACCCACCAGAAGAGGGAGATGAAGACCACAGGAAGAAAAAAAGGGAGGGGCACAAAATTACAGTGTAAATCATGCTGTTTTACCTTCTATGTCTTGGGTTTCAATTTTCAAATGAAAGCTGCAAATTTCATCAGAGGTGCCGGTTTTTTGAACCACAGTTGTTACCTGCATTGGGACGAGTGAACAAAAATATTCTATTTAAAACGGGACAGTGGGAAGGCATCATGGCAGTACTGTTTTGCTGCAGATGGGATGCTTGAAGTATCATTTCCACAATCCAGTGCAAATTGGGTGCAGTGAAGACTCATTTCACAATAGCTGGACTTTCAGCAAACCCCACAATTTGAAACATAGCTGACTAGCCCAAGTAGGGGAAAAAAATGATATCTAGTCCGGCAGAATCTTGCCAAATCCCATGCAGTCAAATCTGAGCACCTGACTGTACAGAAAAGTTCCTAAGCCTCTCACCTTTGAACCTATACAATAAGTTTTATGCATAACACTACAAGGCTAGGAAGTGTGGTTTTCTCCCAGCTCCCACACCACCCACGGTAAACAACAAATTATAGGTGTGCATAGAAGGACAGGGGTGCTACCCGAGGTAGGTATGTTGAGAGCAACTAGAAGTGACAGAGAAGTGGATAACCATCTCCCTATCAACCCAACCATGCAATCTTATAAAGTCTTTGAAGGGATAAATGTGGTAAAGATAAGAGCATAATTAAAATCATCAGTAGAATATTAAATTATGCTTAGAATATGTAATTGATCTTATTTTAGCCATTTGGCAGTACAAGTTTTTCTAAGTTGTCTACACAAGTGCACACAGTCTATGGCTAAAATAAAAGAAACTTAAGCCCTCATGTATATACATCAATCTTAAATGAAGCTGGATAAATGAGGTGTGATTATGCTACAAATCACAGAAAACATGGATACATACATGTGTGTGTCCACACACATGCACCATATGTACATTTACATATAGAAGCATAAAATTATGTATCTACATGTATAATTATATATATAATTTCCACAAATACAAAGACTATATGCATACAAGGATTAACATAACCATTTGCAAAAAGCAATTGTGAGTATAGCTACCAAGATAGCAAAAAGAATTAAATAAATGAATCCTACTTTAGTCATGGTTACCCAAGCCTAGATTTCTGTAGCTTTGTGGCAAAGTCCCTAACTTTCTTTTATGTTACTTGGTATAAGCAGACACATCACTGTGCATGAAATTGGTTCTCAGTGAAATACTTACATGCACTGTGGCCAGCCCATTGCCATATCCAGTACTGACTACGAGGTCATCATTGAGAGGCACCTGAAAAGGGGATGAGAAACCATGCTTTCTTTTCTTATTGAATGATGAGGGAGGACAGAACAATGAAAAGAGTTCGTGGACACCTGCCAGGTTCTTCTCTCAGAGCTTTTGTGAGATTAAATGGATAAGACAGTGAAAATCCTGTGCACACAGACACGAAAAGTGCTGGAAATTCCCCTTTCCCTTTTACATGTAAATATGATGTCTGAGATCTCCTGAGCGAGCCAGTGTACCAACATATCAGAAGTTATTTTTGGTTACACCTTCACTTATATATGGTTATGATAAAACTGGATCTTCATCTCCTTTTGCCAACTGAGTAAATGTCTTTCCGTGCCTCATGATGGCTGTCTCCTCCACTTCCCACTGGTCTCTGTTTAACAAAAGACTTGGCACCCCACCCAGACCCCTAGCACCTCACTTAAGCCTGCCAAATCCTTAGGTGCTGATGGTCTTCTTCCCATCTTTCTAGAAGGAGAGTGAAGGAATGAACTGGATTAAGGAATTCTCTTCTTCAAAGGAACTCAATTATATAAATGCCCCTTGATTTGTGGAAAGCATGGGAGAGATCATTTTGTGCAAGAGGCCCGAAGAGTTGGTTCTTTGCTCTTACTGAGTCTGTAGCCTGCCCTTCCCTTACATAGTACACTGGCGCAAAAGGGATTTGGTGTCCATGAAAAGTCATCAGCCCTTTTTCTAAATTTTAGTAAATGTACATAAAAAGGTCAACTTCCTTTTTTCCCTGATTGAATATAGTAGCATTTGTTGAAAAGACAGCACATCAAGATGCTACATGAGGAATGGGTTCTAGGAACCTAAGTGACATATAAGTTTCGGAAATGAACACTGTTGCCCTGTCCTTGTCTCCATGCCCCTCCGTTGCCCATTCTTGCCCAGAGTCACCACATTTAGTCACACATGTATTAAAGATGGGATATCTTCTATGAAAGAACTTGTTTAACTTCATTTAAACTACAGTTTCCCACACTTTCTTGCTCACCAAACTTTTTTGTAGGTAACATGTTTCAGGAAATGCTGGCATAGAGAATTCCAAACTTGGTATTACTAGCCTGGGTTTTCTACAAAGACAATATCACCTGGGCTGAGGTTTAAATTATTTAAAAACGGCAAGGGGCCCCTTACAGCATTACCCCTGCAGAGAAGAATTAATTCCAACCAAGTCCAGTGGGTCTACTGTGCTGTTCAGGTCAAGACCTCCTCATGAGAGCTTAGACCACTGGCTCAGAATGTCAGTCTCTGGTGAACTCTACAGGTTCCCAGAGAAAGAAGACACATTACCAACCCAGGGGCCACAAGCACCTGTGCCTGCAGAAGCCCAAGCACAAAGTACAGACAAAGTGCATACACACATGTCCCGTGACTGGTGGGAACAGGGACAGATTGAAGAATGCTTGCTGCTGCCAGCACCTCGTGCCGGATCCTATGGATTTTCAAAGGAGTTTGGGAGCAGATTTCTATCTGAAGTCTATGGATTTTTTAATTAAATATTTTATTTATTTATTTGAGAGAGAGAGAGAGAGAGAGAGAGAATGAGAGAGAGCGACCATGAGAGGGGGAAGGTCGGAGGAAGAAGCAGACGCCCTGCTGAGCAAGGAGCCTGATGCGGGACTTGATCCTGGGACTCTAGGATCATGACCTGAGCTGAAGGCAGACGCTTAACCTACTGAGCCACCCAGGTACCCTGAAGTCTATGGACATCTAAGTATTGGAATATGTCTGTATCTCTATCTATATATCCATACCTATCTTTTTTTTTTTTTTTACTATGGGCCAATAGTTTATAATTTTTGCATTAAATGTTATTTCTCATGCCTATTCACTTTTTCCAAACATAGATTTGTAGAGGATACAGACAGTCAAAAACTACTTCCAGTTATTCGCATATTTAAATACGACTTAAAAACATCTAAAATGTAGTAATTAGAAAAATGTGTCTTAGCAGCTGTTTACTGGCAGCTACTCTAACTGACGCAGAAACTAGTTTTTCCAATGTGTTCTTTTGGGGGGGAAATTTTCATAGGCCATCAATGTTTTCATAAAACAAAATCCAGGGGAGCCTGCTTGGCTCAGTTGGTTAAGTGTCCGACTTTTTTTTTGGTTTGTTTGTTTAGATTTTATTTATTTATTTGATGGAGAGAGATCACAAGGAGGTAGAGAGGAGGGCGGAGGTGGGGAGGGAAGCAGGCTCCCTGCTGAGCAGAGAGCCGAGGTGGGGCTTGATCCAGGACCCTGAGACCATGACCTGAGCCGAAGGCAGAGGCTTAACCCACTGAGCCACCCAGGCACCCCAACTGTCTGACTTTTGATCTCAGCCCAGGTTTTGATCTCAGGGTTGTAAGTTCAAGCCCCATGTTGGGCTCCGCGCTGGGCATGGAGCCCACTTAAAAAAAAAAAAAAATCCAGCAGGGTACATGGGGTAAGTTGTTGGAGGACCTAAAGGCCAATTCCAGCTATGCCACAGTTTGCATGTGTCACAGGGCCAGCTGGAACCACTGGTGGATGCCCGGATGTGTTTTCTCTCCCTCTATCATTGTACCTTTTGCATACTGTTCTCTCTGTCTGGAATGTTACTCCCTTTTCTTCACCTGGCTAAGTCATTCTGATTCTTCCAGATTTAACCTGCACCCCTGGATGCATTTGACAAATTCCTACCTCTCACCTTGGGTCAGGAGGCCCTGCTCTGTCCTTCCATGTCCCTGTCAAGGCTCTTATTTTTCACTGTCTGTTAAAATAACTGTCTCCTGAGCACACAGTTTCTTCATATACTTTGCCTTTGAATCCCCAGTGCCCAGGACATAGCAGGTATCAGTGACTTTTTTAGTAGTAAATAGATATATTTGTAAAATAAGAGTGGAACACATGATTTCAAAGGCCCCATCCAGTTACAAAATATTATCAAACGTCCTTCATTTACCTCTATTGGCCTTCCAAGGAAACTGCTCTCTGTCATCTTATAATGGTGGATGTCACCTTTACGCTTATAAGAAAGGTTGATATCCATGTCCAAGCGAAGTTGTTTAATCATGAGTGAATATTCTGTCAGGCCCTCGATGGCATTAATTGTATCCTATCAACAATTAGCAAGGCACAAAAATAGGTTTAGCTCATTTTACATACTCCCTGTGTTTACAAATACCTTTCTTGGGAGAGGGTGGGGGTATGTTAAGCTGTGCCGAAACTCCAGCTGACTGAGTGGAATTGGTAAAGGGCCCCCAGGTGGAGGTAAGAAGAAGGTCTCTCCCTCCCCGGTAAGGATGCTGCTGTTGGCAGGGAGAGGAAGGAAGTGTGGCCTCAGGTCCAGGTTCTCCATGCATCCCGAGTGCGTGACCTCAGGTAGGTCACTCTTTGCAGAATGCCTCCATTTTATCTTTCAAGTCTCACCTTAAATAAATCCACAGTGAGGCCAGAAATGAGCTCTCCCTCCCCATTATTCTGTTTTAATTTTCTCTTTCTGCCCACCGTAATGTAAGATTTCTGGAGGCAAGTCTTTCTTGGCATCCATTACCTTTAGTAGGTACACATAGTAGCTATTGAACAAGTATTTGTTGAAGGAATAAAAGAATGAACTTTACTTTTCTAGGTCTCATCTTCCTCGTCTATAAAGTTGGGAAATGGGACTAGCTCAGAGATGTCAAATACGTGGCTACCCTGTCTGCTTGTACTGATGGTGCACTCCCCAATGGGACACTCTTCCTTGCTAAGCTTACACCTGTCTCTAAGATGAAAACCCATTTGCCTCCCCGGATTAGATAATGATTAAAGTAATCCTGAAGGGCCCTCTAACTCTAAATTTTGTAATACACAAACATATACAAACACATTCTGTCATCATCCAAACATCCAAGCAGCAGAGAAGATGCCAGTATTTGAGCTAAACTTTGAATGCAGATGCATGTTCTTCAACTACCTAATAGTTCTAACATAGAAAATACATACATAAATGAGTTTACACTGGTAAATAAATTATAACAATCAGTATCTCTCTCACTTTTTATTTATTTTGGGGGGAGGGAATATCAGTACATTTGTCCACATGGTCATTATACAGGATGTGATGGATGTTGGTAGCTTTGTTAGCCCTTCATGATCATTAAGAATTGTAAAGATAGTATGGGATTTAGAATTAGGAGATTTGAGTTTTGATTTTGGCTTTGCCCCTAACTCCATGAATGAACCTCCTGGGGATGACTTTCTTCCCTAAGAAAGCTATCAGTGCATATAATCTCTAAGGGCCCTCTGGTTCTAGTGACTGATTCATATCTATGGTATGCTCATTTGGTGGACAAAAACATGGAGGTCAGAATGGGTGTGGAACATATAGTGGGTGGGATGTGGGTGGCACGACAAATGTCTCCAGGAGGATAAAACAAGATAAAGAAATGTTACCTGGGTTGAATAAAAGCCACCTCCATACCTCTGCTCTTCAGATAGCCATTTGATGATCGGGTTAACATAATTTAGGTCTTTCAAGCTCAGAAAGGTGAGCAAAGCATAGGCAGTGGTTTCTACCATATGTGCTGTACCAGAGTTAGGTGCAGATCTATCTTGCTGAAGATCGTCTTTCCAAAAACGATAAATGACTGGCTCACCTGAACATCAGCAAATCACATTCATTAATATAATTAAAAATGCAAATTTGACATTAATTCTAGCAGGTTCCTAGAAGTTTCTTCTGGTAGTGGCCTTTTGAGTTCTAGAAATTTCTTACTCATTTGTAGGAAGAATTTCCTCAAAGGGACCAATACAAAATAAGTTCTCTTAATATAGTGCTGTTTGTCTTCACTTGAAAGTGTCATCATGGAGTGATTTCCCACGTGTACTTGGGAAAAGCAGTGTCGTGGAGTGAGAAGTGCAATAAACTGGTAACTAGTACGCCCAGGTTCTACTCTCTACCCTCCTAGGAACTGACCATGTCGATTTGGACAGATTCTTTTAGTCCCGTGGGACTAATTTTCTAATACCTAAAGTGTATATGGTACTTTTTTCCTCACAGCGAAACTCAAGTGAGATACCAAATGTAACTCTTAGTCCACCAGAAAGCACCATCCACAGAGCAAGGCTTACTGTTGTTATTGCACTATGAGACAAATTGGAAACTTTTCTCCCTGATTGGAAAAAAATTATGTGTCCTAGAAATTATGAGATCATGCCCAAAGCCTGAGTTCAGTCTTTTATGATCTCTTCCAAATGTAAAGCACTAAAGATAACTTCATATATGCAACACTTTTCATAAACTAGGTTCTAAATTATATTTGTTTTTGCTCTAGTAATTTAGACTTGTCACTTTACATCCTTTAAAAATAGATTATGTCTAAAAAAACAATAAGGCATATTTGGAAATCATTTTTGAAGGTTAGTCAAGATTTTGATGTATCTGTTTACAATTCACAATTATGTTATTTGCATGACTTTGGACAATGTTTCCCCTCCTTCTCAAAGACTCAGATTTGTTGTAGTTAGAATGAAAATTTTGGTTTTTGAAGATACTTTCAGTGCAAACATTATTTGAATTATTAAGACCTCTTCTTAAATTCTATGATTTTATGATCCCTATCTTCTAAGACCTAAGATATTCTTTTGCATTATTTTAAAAGCACTGTACAAGTGGTTTTGAGGTTCAGTCATTTTTCTTTTTCTTTTATCTTTTTAAGATTCAGTCATTTTTAAATTATGACAAAAATCAAATCTTGTACTTAGTAGTACACTTCATGTTATATTTATCAAGCTTTTAGAAAACCTCAGCCAGGAGAGGGCTCAGAAGTGTCTAACTATGCCCGTGCTGCAATAGGAACACTGGCCAGGGATCACTGTTAGCCTGTTTCTATCTCTTTACTCCTGACCCATGGGAAGTGGTATGTTTATTTTTCAAAATGAAATACACATATAGCCAAACCAATACAGGATAAGCCAGAGTGGAAAGTGCAATAAACTGGCAATGAGCACACCCCTCTCTGCTAAAAGTCCTCCAGTGCCTTCTCTTTTCACTTGAAGTGGAAGTTAAAGCTTTGGGCTTCCACTGGCCCCCACAGCACCTGGATGTGAATGAGACACAGGCACCCCTTGGTCTGAGCAGAAGCAGACCCAACCCAGAGTGCCTGGCTAGGGGAATTCACAAGCTGAATTTCAGCCTCAGTTCACTGGCCTGGTTGGGAGCCGTGCACATTGTACAACGGTCTTGTGGAGCTCCTGTGATAACTTCCAAGGCTGTATATGATCCTCCCTCACTCCCTCCCCCTTTCCTTCCCTGGTCTCCCCATCATCTCACTCCTCTCCAGCAATACTGGCTTCCTTGCCATTCTTGGAGCTCCAGGCGCCCTCCTGCCTCAGGCATATGCACATGTTGCTTCTCCAGCAGGAACATCATTCGGACAGCCCCAGCTTGCTTTCTCACCGCCATCAGGTCTCAACTCAAGTACTAGCTTCTCAGGGAGGTTTAAATTACAACCTATTCCTTCTCCCTGTCTCCCTCCCCTGCTTCATTTTTCTTCATATCAATCATCACTAACCTATTCACTTTTTGAAATATTTTACTTACCATGTTTGTCTGTCTCTCCATAATTGGAATGCAAGTTCCATGAGGACCTGGACTTTTCTTTTTTCCTTTTGGTCTGTTGCTTTTTCCCTAGAACCTAGAACAGTGTCTGGTATATAGGAGGTACTCACTGCATATGCTGAATGAGTGAATAACAGCACTTACTATATTGTATTATGAGGATTTGTTCCTTTAGGACAGAGACGGTGTCTTATTCAACTTTGCAAACCGTAAACTCCTTCCCAGAACTAGCAGACTCTATATGCTTATTAACACTTGCCGAAAAAACGTACAAAACAAGTCATACCTTTAACAAAAGCCTTCCTCTTCAGGGCTGCGACAATCGGTTGAAACCGTGGGTGACTTTTGTCTCCCAGGGAAAGAGCATAAGCAGAAATGGCCAGTGTAAAGGTGCTCTGGGCCGAGAGGGCATTTTCAAGCAGAAAGGAATCAGCTTTAGTGAGAGCCGCGCTGATTTTCTAGAAACAAGAGCAAAAGATACCTAGGTTTGTCAAGCATCAACCTGTCAACCGATGAGGACTACCCCCAGGTGGCACCATCCCCTGGCAGGCAAGATGAAGGGGAGAGTGAGAAATGACTTAATGGAAGTGGATGGTATCTCCCTGAAGCCAATCCCTCTAGGAGAAGGAGCAGAGTACAATCTCAGAGGAAAAATGTGCTTGTCCAAACTGGGTCCAGTTTTTGCCCCTCAGTTCTCATCTCTATTGAGGTTTTTCCCTTTAGTTGCTCCTTCCCATATCAGATGTAGTCTCTGGGAAGAAGAAGCAGAGCACAGACACAGCTTTCCTCATGCCCCTGCCTTGGCATAGCTGGGACAGACTCATATTTTCAAAAGGAATTTTAGTAAATAAAAGCATAAATAGAAGGAAAAGAACCAAGCTGCCAGAGTGCTTTTTGATCCTAAGAATTTCTGGGGAAATTGTCTCTATTACTTTGTCTTGAGACAACTGAAGTATTTATTTTGGATACGTGCATGAGGACAAAGTCTAGTGCGCTGCAGCAGTCAACTTGCCCAGCTCTTTTCCAGCTCCACTGTTTCTCGCTCAGGTACCACTAGGTGTCGACTGGCCCTCTAGGGCCCTGGGAACTTGTCCCTTGTTGATTATTTTGTCTTATTAAGGTTAAATAACAATTATCTTGAAACAAACTAAAAACATTATTTTGTTTTGGGGATGAAGTCCTACAAACCACCTTTGGGTTCCTCCATGTCTGCTCTGTAGGCTCGTTTGAAGGACATTGTCTAATTTGCTTCTGATTTGCAGGCAGGTGTGTTTGACCTCATGTCAGGGACTGTCTCTTCCCAGATCAGAGAAACATCTCTGCTACCCCTTGGAGTCTTCCACGTTGACTCACTCAGGTGAATCTTCTCCTCTTCCCCTCAGCTTCCAAGCAAATGAAATGGCACACCCCAAAGAAACAAATATACTATCGTGTGGTCTTAGTAGTTCCATGATATAAAATGCCTCCACTGTAGGATAACAGTCATATGCATGTTGTAATATTACCAGAGACACTGGGAGGAAGCTAGGGACACCACGTCATTTTCTCCTTAGCACAAGTTATTGGTTCTACTGTCCACTCCATAATTTAGTAGCCCGTGATACTGGACAATTAAAGCCACCTTTCCCATAGGTCTTAGTCTTTGCAACTGTCAACAAGTAGGTTGGGCCAGAGGGTCTCTAATATCTATCATAATTCTGCAATCTTTTGATTTTGGAGCTAACTTTATTTTCAAGGCGGCCCCTCCCACTAAATGGTATAGAAACAGGCGATCAGTGTTAGAGTAAGGAAACTCTTACTTACCACTGTGGGGCATATATCAAAAGCCTTTCTAAATCCAATCACTGTAAAGGCTGTAAGATATAAGGCATTCTCTCGGGCTTCAATAGGCAAGGTACCCTAAAAATAAGCAATGTTTTAAATGGAGAGTGAAACGGTGTCCTTAAAATGAAACGACCTGGTTCTAATCTCCCCTTCTCCCTTCATGCATTCCAGTTGGACTGCTTGCCATTTCTCAGGAAGATCCAGATCTTCCTCACTCGCATACCTTCACATGCCTTTCTCTCCCTCCCCTTCCACTGAAGTTCCACTTCATACCTCTTCACCACAAATTTCTCCCCCTCCTTCAAAACCCTGTTGAAAAACATCTCCCTCTCTGAAGCACTATTCAGACTTTGTTCTCCCATATTATTTCCTCTTAGAGCAGTCACATTCCAATGCAATGTTTATACGATCTTCCAAAGTGTCCTCTATTTAACTCTCCAGATTTATTTCATGCCACTCACCCCCTCACTCTTTTGGCCCCAGTTATTTGCATGAACCACCCTCTCTCTCCACTTCAAAATGCCAGGCACACTGTTTTCATCACTTGGAACACTCTTCCTGCCTTCCTCCTACCTAGCTCCCAGGATCCTGGCCAACTCATTTTTTCCAATTCTCCCATATGAGATTGGAGCCGTTGCTTTCAACGAAACTGTATTTCCCTTTTCCTAACACGTATGGAACACTTGAAATTACTTACTGACATCTGACTTCTCTGCTAGATCATAAGCTCTATGGCCTCAGTGATCACAATTGTTTTGTTCACTCTTGTGTCTCTACCATCTAGCACTTAGTACACATTCAGTAAGTATTTCTTGTATATGTAAATGAACACACACAATTATATGTAGATTAGAGTTGCTAGTATGTATAGCCTACTTTCCCTACCAGTGTGTGAGCTTTGTGGTAGTCAATCCTTCCCACACTTCCTCCCTGATTGTGTTCTAAACAGACCCTTGCATGTATTAGGTGCTCAGTGAATGGTCGTTCAATAAATATAGACAGATGGGTGGATGGATACATGGGCATCTTTCAAAAAAATTTATTGTAGTATTTTATTCTTCAGGTAGCACCTGGATGATGTCAGTTGCCCTCTGTTTCTTGTGGGAGTCCTCGTCTGCTACTGGTGCAACAGAAGGACATATGAGTTTCCTGTTACCCAGGGAGCCATTTATGCCTGATATCATGCCAGAAAGGGATTAGATTAGGGCAGGCAAAAACAAAAACAAAAGCAAAAACCCAAAACAAAACAAAACAAAAATGAAACAAAACAAACAAAACCAACCAACCAAACTAAAAACACCATTGAATTTTAAAGAAACATTCTAAGGAGTAGAAGGGAGTAAAAGATACTGTACTGGTATCTTGGAGAGATACTACAATTACTTTGTAATTCAAGTTTATAAGTAGATTCTAACATCATACAACACTTTGTTGCACAGTTTAATAAAACTGATCCTAATCCCTCTTACTAACAGGATATAAATAGGGTCCCATCTTTCATGACAACACCTTGCAGCCCTGATATGTAAGAAGGCTCAAGTTTCAAGTATGGAGTCTATATCAAGGGTATGTAGACAGATGAGTACATTTTATCTGTTCTAAGATCTCTCGTACTTACACCCTGTGGACCACCAGTGCCTGTGACATAAGAGATGTCATAGGCATCTCTCACCTGACCTGTACTAAATTGTGTGAAGAGGAGTGCAAGAAGAACTTTCATATTCTTTGCCTGTACACAACAGGACTTTCTTAAAGGCATATATATTTTTTCTCTTCTTCAAACTTCTAAAATAGGATGAGAACAAAACTCAGACTTGTAAATATCATATGGTTTCACTTATTTGTGGAGCATAACAAATAGCATGGAGGACAAGGGGAGTTAGAGAGGAGAAGGGAGTTGAGGGAAATTGGAAGGGGAGGTGAACCATGAGAGACTATGGACTCTGAAAAACAATCTGAGGGGTTTGAAGGGGCAGGGGGTGGGAGGTTGGGGGAACCAGGTGGTGGGTATTAGAGAGGGCACGGATTGCATGGAGCACTGGGTGTGGTGCAAAAACAATGAATACTGTTATGCTGAAAAAAAAAAAGGAATAAAGAAAAGGTACACTAGTTGATGGCACTCAGAAACGCTGTAAATGTCTTGCAACTTTTCCTAAATCTATTCTAAAATAAGTGTCTATTAAAAAAAACAGTTGCTAATCTATATATTTGGTTTCCTTACCTGTAATTTTATTGGCTGATACTCGGAATTATCCTTGAAAGATCCATTTTCTAGTTGAGCATTCTCCACCAGCCACAATAAACCATTACAAATTGAATTCTGGTTCTGATTTACGTATTTACTTATTTGTCCAAGTACTCTTAAAACAAAAGCTGTTAACCTTAAGACAAAATCAAATAATTAATATTTAGATGTTCAATCCCTTTGGCTTTCAACTTATGTGTGTTTTAGTTAAAATGATATTTATTCTTTAAAAGAAAATAACATTTTAAATCATACAATTCTAAAGTATGTTGTCACCATTTTACAAGGGAAGAGATTTTAGGAAGAGCTCCAAAAACGTTCAGTCAACAAATGTGAACAATACATCTTTTGCGATTGCAACATTGCTAACCAGCACACAAACTAAAAAATTGATGCCTGATGATTAAAAACAAAATTACTCTAAAGTTAAAGACAATAGTGGTGAAGTAAATAGTTTTGAGTCAGGGCACTGACATATGAACACGAGACCTAGAAGAGAAAGATCTTAAAATTCTAGATTGTACAATGTGTACAAGCTGGTTAATCTAAAGTCTTGTCTGAGGCCTGAATTTCCTTCCCCAACATTCACAGGAGTGTTTACCCCGCTTCCTCTTGAGCCATGCCATTGACACAGAACTCACTACCTCACAAGGAAGCTTTAACTATCATGATTACTGAGGTTTTCTTGTTTTTGTTTTTTGCTTTTTGAAGCAATTTCAGTCGCTACTAATCTCTTAAAGAGTGTCCAAGAGTATCTAATGCATAACCCCGCAATACCTCTTTATCTCACCCCCTCTCTTCTGCTCCCGTTCCCTCACTCTCTGAGCACCCAGAGCTACCGGCCCTTCAGCCCTTCACTTCTGAGAGTAAGACTACTTGACTTTCCCTCTCACTTAAAATGTTTTATTTTCATTTTTCTTTCTAAAATGAATAATATATTGGGCCACGTGGGTGGCTCAGTCAGTTAAGTGTTTGACTTCCGCTCAGGTCATGATCCCAGGGTCCAGGGATTAAGACCCACATGGGGCTCCCTGCTCAGCAGAGAGCCTGCTTCTCCCTTTCTCTCTGGCCCTCCCCCCACTTGTGCTCGCTCACACTCTCTCACAAATAAATAAATAAAATATTTAAAAATAAAATAAAATGAATGATGTATTATATTTTGTATTCCTCAAAAAATATTTTGAAGGTATTCAGATACTGGCCATTTTATTCTGTGTATGTTTCTCTCAAGGAACTTGTAGAGTTCATTCTAGGACAGTACCCAAATATTCCTGCATTTTTGGCTGAACAACATCCACTCAGTCTTGCCGAGAACTCTCGAGAGGCCCCAGATATTTACTGAAAGGCTACTGCATCTTCTTGGGGAGAGGGGGCATTTTGTCCTCTAAGCATTTAGTTCCCAGCTGTTGCTGTGCTGGTTTCTAAGCCCTAACCCTTGCAACCTGGTAGGTATCCTCCAGTAGGCATGCTCTAGGGGTCTACATGTCTTTTAAAACATGCAGCCCGCATATGGTTAGACCTCTTCTAAGGTACAATCTGTGGACTTGATAACTGGTTGGATATAGAGCCAAAAGGAAAGGGATGATTCAAACTTGCATAGAGTATTGCCACCCACAGATTAAGGAAACCGAAACAAAAAACTGAATTTGGCATGGATTATGTTTGAAGGGCCTTTGGCTCCCAGATCCCTAGAAATGTGGATTTGGAGCTTAGGTAAGAAGTTAGGCCTCGAAACATCAATTAGGGAATCATCTGTGTAGAAATTATGGAAATCATGGGCAAAGATGAGATTGCACAAGGAGAGATTACAGAAAATAAGAGGTGAAGGATGAAATCCGGGGGACTCTCAATAGTTACAGGGTATAATCTAAAAGTCAGTTATTCCAGATTGTAAAAGCCTTAAAAGTGTTTCATATAGTAGAATTTATAAAGCACTTGGAACACTATATTTTCATTACATACTTTGTCAGTGCATGATAATATTTTTTTTCTGAAAATCGATTGCAATGTGTACTTTCAGTTAATTCAGACAGTCTTGCCTTCAAGTCATCAGAAATAAGGAAGTTATTATGCTTCACTGATAAGTACTTACTGAGCACCTGCTACATGTCAGGTGTGTACCAGACACTCAGAATTCTTGAGACTGCCCACGTGGAGCTTATGTTCTAGTGGCAAGACAGGTAACAGGTGAGATAAGTAAGAATGTTAATGATAAATTTTAAGGAGAAAGGGAAAGTTGAGGAGCAGGATATGAAATGTTGGGATGGGAATGGAATGCAACTTTTGATAGAATGATTAGTAGAGGCCTCATTGAGAAGGCGACTTTTGGTAAAGACCTGAGGGAGGTAAGGGAACTAGACACTGATACCTGAAGAACATTTCTGACAGAGGTAACAGTGGTTGCAAAGACGCTGAAGTGGAATGCCTCCTATGTTCAAGGAACATCAAAGAGGCCAGTAGGGCTTGAGTGGAAGGAAAGAGAATAGTAGGGGATGTAGTTGGAGAGGTGAGATGAAGCCACACCATGTAGGGCCTTGGGGTTTACAGTAAGTTTGGTTTCTACCCTGGGTAAGATGGGAAGCTCCCAAATGGTTCTGAGTGACGGGACCTAACTCACGTTTTAACAGGGTCACTCCAGTTGCTGTGTTCAGTATAGATAAAGAGGGGAAAGGAGGAAGACAAAAGAGCAGAGGAGGTTAGTACAATAGTCCAGGTAAGACATGGGAGTGACTTGGACCAGGACGGCGTGGTGGGGTTTGTAAGAAGTAGTCAAGCTTAGGATACATTTTGAAGGTACAGCAAGAAGTATTTGCTGGATCAGACATGACTTGTAAGAGAAAAAAGGCAATGAAGGATAACTACACTTCCAGCCTGAGCAAATGGATGAATGGAATTTCCATTAAGATTCTCTAGTTAATTAATCAACTATTTTATGAAAATGCAAATCCAAACCTTCTACTTACCAGGTGCTAGCACTTCCACCCTTCCACATGCTGTAAGAGTAGTCAGAATTTCTGTAGGACATGATGCTCACCAATCCTAAGAGGCACCAGAAAAAGAACATAGTGCTTCACTGACCTTCATTTCTACGCAAAGAGTGTTTATTAGCTCCTGGGAATGGTAGACTTCCTTTGGTGCTGGGCAGCAAGCATGTGCTCTGCGGCCAATGTTAAACTTCTCGAAAAAAGTATCTGAATCATGAATTGTTTGAATTGGGAATTATCAAGTAGAACATTCTGAGCTTATTCAAGAAGGAAGGAAGTGCTCTGTAGGGGTTGGAATGCAGGTGTCTTGTCTCTCATCCAGGCATTTAAGTTAAGCCAAATGCTACAGAAAATAGTATTTATTTATATAGTTGTGTCTATCTCACAATTTTCTTTTTACAGAAATGCTTTTATGATTAAGCTCTGTGTAATTCATAAAACCTTAAATATTAGTTTAATTACACCATTAGTTTAAAAGTCACAACATTTTTATGTACAATATGTAAAATAGAATTTTTTTTTTTTTTTACCTTCTCTAAGTTTTCTCTCCAGGTTCCATCTTTTAGCTAATGAATTAGTAGAAAAAATGTCCCAATTGTTCCCTGCTTCCAGGTAGTGAAAAACATAGAATACAGGGACAACACTCATCAGTTCTGCTTCTGCATTCCCCTTGGGGAGGTGGGTAAGAATATTAATGCCTTCCTGACTCAGAACGGCAGATACGACCTCACCTATAAGCAGTCCTGTAACAAACAAACAAACAAACAAAAAAACAAATCAAGGTAAAGGCACCATCAGTTTCTAACAACTTCTGAGTAATGATATATTTTAAATAGAGAGAAGAGCAACTATCCCTGTTCTTACCTTTTTTTGAGAGAGAAAGAGAAAATGAGAGCAAGCAGTGGGGCAGCGGGGGGTGGGGGTGGGGAAGAGATAAAGGGTGAGAAAGAGAGAGAATCTTAAGCAGGTTCCACGCCCAGTGCAGAGCCCGACTCAGGGCTCGATCTCACAATACTGAGATCATGACCTGAGCTGAAATCAGGAGTCGGACACTTAATCGACTGAGCCACCCAGGCGCCCCCTTGTTCTTTTCTTTTTATCTAGGCAGTTGAATTAACTTCTTAGCTGGGGAGAGACAGAAAAGATCTAGTGAGGAATATGGATCTAAAAGAAACACCAAGAACAGGTTTAAAAATGCCCCTGGAATATGGTGTTAAGATGGTATAATGTAGCAGGCAGATCACCACATAGATAGGACATAGATATGGCAAATTTGTTCTCGTCCAACCTGACAGCTTTAGACATTGTAAACTCTATGAATCAATTGCTTCCACAAAGCAAAGCAAAACACCGGGGCTGTGAGTGTTCTGTGAGTGCTGTGGGGACTCTGTCCAAAAGCCATTGGGTGATACTAGGCAAACAAATTTTCACAAAACCAACACCAGGATTGCACATGATTAAAAAAGTTTCTCACAGTACTAACATTCTGTGAGCCCAGGGCTTTATCTGAGATAAAGTTAGTCAGGACATTCTATTGTTTTGATGACATATGAATTATAAAGTTTGGAGACCAGAGGAAACTCACTGAAGCTGCCACTTCTGCAAATGTACCTGAGGGGAAAGAACTACTCTGGGACTGATATTTCAGCAGAGCAGTGCAACTCTGGTGGCGCCATTTATAGGTCACAAAGCCCTCTCTGGAGCAAGAGTGGTTGGAAATGGAAACGGAAAGTTTGAGAGAAGTGTTTGGGTCAGTGGTAACCCCCACCCTTCATCATGGGAGAATGAATCTCCATTTAAATCAGGCCAATAGGAGAAAACAGTCAGAAAAGTGGTTGGGGGTTTGAAGGTGGTAGAAAGAGCAGGGTTTCCCAGAGGTGGATTTGTACATGCTTCTGAGTAGAGAAGAGAGAGAAGAGGAGAAACAAAATAATCATGAGGATATTTGTTATTTAAAGCATAAAGTGAAATGAAAAATAAAAATGGCATTTGTCACTTTACCTTTTATACTCACAATCCTTTGGACTTTTGTTTTGGGGACCAAATCTAATGGTACCCTGTATGGGAACTCCTTTCGTCGACTAATGACACCTGAAATTAAAAAAAAAATTATTAGATTTACACAGAATTCTTTTTTAAAAATTTTAAATTCTATTAATTAACATATTGTATTATCAGTTTCGAGGTAGAGGTCAGTGATTCATCAGTCTTATATAACACCCAGTGCTCATTACATCCCATGCCTTCCTTAATATCCATCACCCAGTTACCCCATTCCTCTACCTCCCTCCCCTCCAGAAACACTCAGTTTGTTTCCTATGATTAAGAGTCTCTTATGGGGAAAAAAAAAAAAAGAGTCTCTTACGGTTTTTCTCCCTCTCTGATTTCGTCTTGTTTTATTTCTCCCTTCCTTCCCCTGTGCTCCTCTGTTTCGTTTCTTAAATTCCACAGATGAGTGAGATCATATGATAATTGTCTTTCTTTGATTAACTTATTTTGCTTAGCATGATACCCTCTGGTTCCATCCATGCTGCAAATGGCAGGATTTCATTTTTTTTTTTTTTAATGGCTGAGAGATATTCCATTGCATATAAATTCCACATCTTCTTTATCCATTCATTAGTCGATGGACATCTGGGCTCTTTCCATAGTTTGGCTATTGTGGACATTGCTGCTATAAATATTAAGGTGCAGGTGCCCCTTCAGATCACTACATTTGTATCTTTGGGGTAAATCCCTAGTAGTGCAATTGCTGGGTGATAGGATAGTTCTATTTTTAACATCTTGAGTAATTTCCATACTGTTTTCCAGAGTGGCTGCACCAACTTGCATTCCTACCAACAGTGTAGGAGTGTTCCCCTTTCTCGGCATCCTCACCACAATCTGTCATTTCCTGTCTTGTTAATTTTAGCCATTCTGACTGGTGTGAGGTAGAATCTCATAGGTTTACCCAGAATTCTTGAAGGAACCCCAGTTGCAGGTTATTTATAATATACTAGCTTCCAAAGAATTGTCTTAAAATAAAAGGCCCTTTAGGGCACCTGGCTGGTTTCAGTCGTTAAGCGTCTGCCTTCGGCTCAGGTCATGATCCCAGGGTCCTGGAATAGAGTCCCAAGTCAGGCTCCCTGCTCAGCGGGAAGCCTGCTTCTCCCTCTCCCACTCCCCCTGCTTGTGTTTCCTCTCTTGTTTTGCCTCCATCAAATAAATAAGTAAAATCTAAAAAAAAATAAGAAAATAAAAGTCCCTCCTATAATAACTATACTAAAATTTTAAAAGTAAGTTAAAAATAATCAAAGATTTTTATCAAACCCTAGGCTTATATAATCTCCTTAGAGCATTAAATTTAACTGTAAGCTTCCTGGTCATTACAAGATAGGAAATAAATAGGTTTATAAATTTATTCCACCAGAAAAAGGGAGCATGCCGTTTTGTCCAAAGAGAAAAAATTATTCTTGGAACTGAAAGTTAAAAATAACTAATGTAATTGCTCAGTCAAGGATATTTGAAGATTAGCTCCATTGGGATGCATGCCCTGAAATTCTTTCCACTTTCTCTCAATTTAACTTAGACACTTTTTCTCTATGTCCAATAACAGAGTTTTAGCATTCTTGTTATCTGAGCATTTTTCTACTTTAATCATTGGTTTGTTTCATAAAAATGGTATTTATCATTCTACTGATAGAACACCAAGCACTCTGCTAATCTTCTAAATGCATTGTTATACTGGGTCTTACGACAACCCTGTTTGCTAGGTCTATTGTTATTGTTTTTATTTTATAGATGAGAAAACTGAGGTTTAGAAAGCAAATTGCCCCAGGCCACAGAGCGGGCAGAGATGAAGCTTGGATCTAATCTCAGAAGTTTTACTGTGGACCAACAGCAGTCACCACAGAGACCCCCACCTCTCATTGTCCTACCAGGAAAGCTCTGAGGGCAGGAACCGTCTCTTATTGAAAGCTGTAGTCCCAGCATTTACCACTGTCCCTGGCACAGGGCAGATGCTGAAAGAAAATAGTGACATTTTGCCACTTAATGGGGCAAGTACATAGCTTTGCGAAAGAGACAGGAATGTTCCTCAGGTAACTTCTTTCTTCATTAACTTTTAATAAATGTTGAGGATGTAATTAAAAAAAAAAGATTTTATCTATTTATTTGACAGAGAGAGAGTCAGCAAGAGAGGGAATACAAACAGAAAGAGTGGGAGAGGGAGAGAAGCAGGCTTCCTGCTGGGCAGGGAGCCTGAAGCGGGGCTTGATCCCAGGACCACAGGATCATAACCGGAAAAGAAGGCAGATGCTTAACCAGGGCCCCCAGGTGCCCTTGAGGATGTAATATTAAAATAAAACTCAGTGAAGACATTTAAGAAGTTTGCGGTGTGGTTGAAAGAGCATGGAACTCAGAAGGAGTCCTCTATATGTGACACTGGGCAAGACACTTTACCTTTCTGTGCCTTGATGTGCTCATCAGTTCCATAGAGGTAATAATATTTTCCTCAAAGGATTTTAATAAGGGTGAGAATAATATAGACAAAGATTCTGGCAAACAATACATTGTACTTAATGATAATCAGTTGTCTGAAATTATCTAAATTTGATGCTCCATTAGTTTTTCTATTGATATCTGCCCTTGGCTATTTCAATTCTTATTAGCAATTCTGCTACCAGATTGAAAAGGTACAGAAGTGAAAACTAAAACTAACAGAAGTCAATATTACTCCTTGACAGGAATCATGATAAAATACTCATCAAGGGATGCCTGGGTGGCTCAGTCAGTTAAGCATCTGTCTGCCTTCTGCTCAGGTCATGATCCCAGGGTCCTGCGATGGAGACCTGCAATGGGCTCCCTGCTGAGTGGGGAGCCTGCTTCTCCTGCTGTCTGCCACTCCGCCTGCTTGTGTTTTTTCTTTCTCTATGACAAATAAATAAAATCTTAAAAAAAATAAAAATAAAAATAAAAGGCCCATCAAGACATCACATATAAAGGTAGATGCGAGAGAGATTAAAACATTTAAAAGTCAAATCTGTAAAACCAATAGGGTAAAATATATAATATCTCTGTGAACTAAGAGCAGGGAAAGACTTCTTAAAGATTACCCCCAAAATATGTAATAGTTGTAAAGTAAAATTATAATGAATTGGCTATATCAGAATAAAGGATTCCTATTCAAAACCCACTAGGGTTCACTATTGCTCAAAAAAGTATACCAGAGGACTGCCTGGGTGGCTCAGTCAGTTAAGGGTCTGACTCTTGATTTCTGCTCAGGTTATGATCTCATGGTCATGAGATAGAGCCCCACATGCAGCTTAGTGCTCAGCAGGGAGTCTGCTGGAGAGTCTCTCTCCCTCTCCCACTGCCCCTTCTTCCTCTCGCTCACACACATGCTCGCTCACTCTCTCTCAAATAAATAAAAAATCTTTTTTTTAAAGTATACCAGAGACAAAAATCAATTAGAAATAGACTCTCCCCCCCCCCAAAAAAAAACCCAAAAGGAAAATAGAACAAGGTACAAAAGGTAAGAATAGGAAATTCACAGATGGGAAGCCCAAATGGCCAATAAGCATATGGGGAAATGTTTTGTACTTAGAAGGATCCAAACTAAAACAATGAGACAGCATCCTATGCCTCTCATAAATGGTACATTTTAGAGTAATAATACCCCAGCAATAATACAAGTGCTGGTGAGGATGTAGAGAGATGACAATGTTCACACGGTGCTGGCAGATGTGTAAATAGCACAGCGATTCTGAAGACCAACAGGACAGCAGTTAATAATATTCAACATATGTATGCCCTCTGACCCAGAAGTCACACTCCTGGATATACAGTCCGGATTAATGCTAACAGATCTGTAAAGGGAGATGTATAATGTTCACTGCAGTATTGCTCACAATGGTGGGGAATCTGTCACTAGAGGACGGATAAGTAAAATTGTGGTGGAATATACTCTGAAACACTGTAAGAAGCAGTGAGTATTCCTTTAAAACAGAATGTTGAGTTTAAAAACTTAAGAAATAGAGTAGGATAGAGAATAGGATCTGAGTGGGTGCATTTAAAGGAAGGGAAATGGGAGCAGGGGTCAGGAATAAAGGGAGGATGTCCAAAAGGTTACTACATATGTTCCCCTCTAGAATTTTGATGGATTCCTGTCTCACATTGAGGTCTTTCATCCATTTAGAGTTTATTCTTGTGTATGGTGTAAGATCGAGTTTCATTCTTCTGTATATAGCTGTTCAAGTTTCTCAGCACCATTTATTGAAGAGACTGTCTTTTTTCCACTGGATATTTTTTCCTGCTTTGTCAAAGATTAGTTGACCATAGAGTTGAAGGTCCATATCTGGGGTCTCTACTCTGTTCCATTGATCCATGGGTCTGTTTTAGTGCCAGTACCATGATATCTTGGTGATCATGCCTTGTAATATATCTTGAAATCAGGCAACATGATGCCCCCAGCTTTGTGTTTCTTTTTCAACATTTCCTTGGCGATTTGGGGTCTTTTCTGGTTCCATACAAATTTTAAGATTGTTTATTCCAGCACTTTGAAAAATGCCATTGGTATTTTGATCGGGATGGTGTTGAAAGTATAGATTCCTCTGGGTAGCATAGACATCCTAACAATGTTTATTCTTCCGATCCGATCCATGAGCATGGAATATTTTTCCATCTTTTCATGTCTTCTTCAATTTCCTTCACAAGTGTTCTGTAGTTTCTAGAGTATAGATCCTTTATCTCTTTAGGTTATTACAGGGTAAGGTTTTTGGTGCTATTGTAAATGGAATCGATTCTTTAATTTCTCTTTCTACAGTTACATTGTTAGTGTATAAGAAAGCAACTGATTTCTATGGATTGATTTTGTATTCTTCCCCATTACTGAATTGCTGTATGATTTCTAGTAATTTGGGGGTGGAGTCTTCTGGGTTTTCCACATAAAGTATCATGTCATCTGGGAAGAGAGAGAGTTTGACTTCTTCTTTGCCAGTTTGAAAACATTTTATTTCTTTTTGTTGTCTGATTGCTGTTGCTAGGATTTCCAGTACTATGTTGAACACCAGCGGTGAGATTGGGCATCCTAATTGTGATCCTGATCTTAAGGAAAATGCTCTCAGCTTTTCCCCATTGAAAATGATATTTGCTTTTCGAACTCGCTTTTTGAATTTGAGAATGGGCTTTTCATAGATGGTTTTTATGAAATTGAGGAATGTTCCCTCTATCCCTATACTCTGAAGAGTTTTAATCAGAAAAAGATGCTGTATTTTGTCAAATGCTTTTCTGCATCAATTGAGAGGACCATATGGTTCTTCTCTCCCCCCTTATTAGCATGTTCTATCACATTGATGGATTTGCAAATATTGAACCACACTTGCATCCCAGGGATAATCCCACCCAGTCATGACAGATAATCTTTTTAATATACTTTTGGATCCTAGTAGGAAGAATCTTGTTGAGAATTTTGGCAGCCATATTCATCAGCGATATTGATTTGCAATTCTCCTTTTTGATGAGGTCTTTGCCTGTTTTGGGATCAAGGTAATGCTGGCCTCATAGAATGAGTTTGGAAGTTTTCCTTTTTTCTATTTTTTGAAGCAGCTTCAGAAGAATAGGTATTATTTCTTCTTTGAATGTTTGGTAGAATTCCCCAGGGAATTCATCGGGCCCTAGACTCTTGTTTTTGGGGGAGTTGTTGATCACTGCTTCAATCTCGTTACAGGTTATTGGTCTATTCAAGTAGCCACATGAAAAAATGTTCAACATCATTAGCCATCAGGGAAATTCAAATCAAAACCACACTGAGATACCATCTCACACTAGTTAGAATGGCAAAAATTGACAAGACAAGAAACAACAGATACTGGAGGGGTTGTGAGAAAGGGGAACCCTCTTACACTTTTGGTGGGAATGCAAGTTGGTACAGCCACTATGGAAAACAGTATGGAAGTTCATCAAAAAATTAAAAATAGAGCTACCCTATGACCCAGCAATTGCACTACTGAGTATTTACCCCAAAGATACAGATGTAGTGAAAAGAAGGGCTATATGCACCCAGTGTTCATAGCAGCAATGTCCACAAAAGCCAAACAGTGGAAGGAGTTGAGATGTCCTTCCACAGACAAATGGATAAAGAAGATGTGATCCATATATATAATGGAATATTACTCAGCCATCAGAAAGGTTGAATACCCAAATTTTGCATCAACATGGCTGGGACTGGAGGAGATTACGCTAAGCGAAATAAGTCAAACAGAGAAAGACAATTATCGTATGGTTTCGCTTATTTGTGGAACATAAGGAATAGCACGGAGGACATTAGGAGAAGGAAGGGAAAAATGAAGGTGGGTGGAAATTAGAGAAGGGAGACAAATCATGAGAGACTATGGACTCTGGGACTCAAACTGAAGGTTTTAGAGGGGAGAGGGTGAAGGGATGGGTGAGCCCTGTGATGGGTATTAAATAGGGCACGTATTACATGGAACACTGGGTGTTTTAGGCAAACAATGAATCATGGAACACTACATCAAAAACTAATGATGTACTGTATGATGACTAACATAACATTAAAAGAAAAGAAAGGAATGAAGGGAGGAAAGAAAACACAAGGGGCCTGCCCAGACCAGTGATGTGGTGCGCCAAGAAGTGGGGGATGGTGAGGAGCTGAACTCCCTGCAACCCAAAGAAGATTTGGAGGCAAAGGCTTGTGGGAGAGAGAAAGCAAGAACCAAAGATGCGGGCTCCTTGGATTGAGTTTCTACATTTAGTCCTCATTTTAAGCTGATGCCACACTATTTTCATTCCTATTACTTTATAATTTGTTCTGATACCTTCTTCTCCCTCACTGATTTTTTTCCCCAAATTTCCAGTGATGTTATTGTCCACCTACTTTTCCAAATACATGTTAGCCTTTAAAAAAAAAAAAAAAGGAATTCTATAAAGTATATAGCAATTCTGACACATAAACATTGGAAGTATTTAATAAACTCTCCAAACTCACTGGACTAAGTTAATTGTCATCTTTACCCTATTTAGCTCTCTAGAAAGTTACAAAGCTGCCTAAATCTAAGTTGTCTGAAACAATAAGGGAAACGGTTATATGGCAAGATTGGAAAGAAGCATAAGTTTTATTATAACTAATTTTTTACCAAGATTGTTGACTGAGAGATTTATTCCCAGATAAAAGATCATTCCCATTGTGTGGCCCTGATGTCCACACCTGGAATGTACCAGACAGGGCCATTTTGCAAATCTGTTTGCAGTAATGTCAGTATGGGAGGCACAGGGTAAACAGGAAGAAAATAAAGACACACTGGCTCTGAGGCTTGATATAAGTAACTTCATGAGGCTCCAAATCTCAGAATTTGTAATATCTCTACCCACAGATCCCTCACAATGGACAGGCTGGAAGAAGGTCTATGTGAAGATAAAATTAAGTAAAAAAGGGAGCATCTGGATATATGCATTTAAGATGGATTTTTCTTCCTGTTACTCTGTTGAAGTCATCCTTAGCTTATGATACTCTGCTGATTTAAAGGTAAAGGTCTGAATTCTTTGCTTTGCTTTGCAATTCTCAGAAATGGCTCTCTGGGTATAAGGGTCTTGATTTATAGGTAAGCTTTTTTCCCTCATTGCTATATGACTGAAAGCAAAGAAACATGATTCAAGGCAATAATATGGTAAATTTAATCCATTTAATAAGAACTATGACAGGCTATCTTTTTTGTTGAACAGAATTGTTAACTGAACCTATTCTAAATTCCATGTATATATAAGTGTATGAGCCTTGTTTAAGTGCTTGGATATTTGCAAAATTCTAACCATGAGAAGGTTCAGAATATCTTTATTGAAGGGTAAAAAGTAGGATAGTAGGAACAACAAGGAATGAGTTAGTTAAGTGATTAATCAGCATTATTGTGTTTTCAAATACTGTGTGTTAAAGAAGGATGGAAATGACTTTTTCTTAGGTATTCCTTGGGATTGATGGTTCTATAAGAAAATAGTATAAATTATCATTGTGATGGATACAAAATGACTAATATCAAAGAGAAATCATGCAATTATCACGATTTCAATGCTTTGCACTTAAAATTAATGGAATTCTTTTTCTTTGTTCTAAACCCATCCAGATTATAATACAACACATGCTATCAAGAATGTCAATGAACTAAGAAATGAATATTTCTTATTCCATACAACTAACATTTTGAAAAACAACATTTCAGGTAACCTAGACACTTCAATTTCTAGAGCAAAAGACAACATATAAAATACCTACCATAAATACCCTTTGGGTCCAGAGTAACACCAGCATAACTTTCCTTTTTGATACCTTCTGGCTAAAAAGGCAGAAAACACTCAGTAAAGAATATAATTAAATTTAACTCCCTCAGTGAAGCCTTAATTTGTTCCCTGAATTTCAGCTGTCACCTTCAAATGATGAAAAAATAAAATTAAATTTATATGACCTGAATTCTTGGATCAACTTGGATACTTTACAATTGAAAAAAATTTTAAAGGCAAAAATATGTTTAAATATTTATATTCATAAATACAAGAATAAGATTTTCTGGCTACTTGCCTAATAACCAGACCAAATACTTAAATAGAAGTTATCATAAGCCAGGAAATTGACCTAAATGCTTTGTATGTATTATCTTGTTTAACCTAAAAAAAAAAATTCATGAAGTAGAAACTATTATTACTCCCATTTGGTAGATGAAGAAAATAGCACATAGAGAAATCAAGAAACTTATCCAATGTCACACTGCTAGCAAGTGGTGGAGCCAGGATTCAAACCCAGGCAGCCTGTCTCCTTAGTCTGTGCATGGAACTACCATGCAAGGATACACAGGACATGTCTTGTACAAAATAAGTCAGTATATGTCTACTGAAGTGATTGCGTGGCTAAAAACCTAAGTCAGAGAATGAAGACCTAAGAAGACCCATTTCTGTCATTAACTAGTCATGTGACTCTTGGCAAGAACCTTAATCTTACTAGGAAAACACGAAAACACTCAATAGACTATGTGGGTAAATAGTACTTAATAAATGATAATTTTCTTCCTTTTTTAGTCTCTTTACTTATTTGTAAATGAAACATTTTTTAGACTATAAATTCTAGACTATAAATGCCTGGGCTGTGTCTTATCTATTGCTGGATCTCCAGTACCCGGCATAATGTCTGGCACATAGATTTCAAGACACACCTTTTGAATGTGTTAGGAGGAAAACCTTGGAAGACTATATATCAAATTGTCAAAGTTGCATGTCTTTGGGTGTGGGAGTTATCAGTGATTTTAATTTTCTTCTCTGTGGCTTTTCATTATTCCATATGTTCTACAATCACGAAGTACCATTGTTTTATTTAAATTTTTAAAACATAATGTCAGGCTGAAAGAAAAGTTGTAAGAATCCTACCAAAAACCTGAGATAACCTCTACTTTGTTTCTCCCAAATGTTAGCATTCTGTTACATTCATATTTATATTGTTTTTCTGTGTTCTTTTTCTGAACCACTTAATGATAAGCTGCTGACAACTTTTTTTCCAAAAAAGTTGAAAATAGTGTTTGTTATCATTCTTTTTCTTTCTTTTTTTAAATTTTAATTCCATTATAATCAATACACAGTCAGGTGTACAATAGTGATTCAACAATTCCATACACTACTCAGTGCTCACCACAATAAGTATACTCTTAATCCCTTCCACCCATGAAAAAAGTGTTTTTAAAAAGAATCAGAAAAAAAGCATATTTTTCTTACCACCACTCGTAATGTTTTTACTAAGATTTCTTTTCCAAGTGAAGTCTCCAGTGAAAAGTTGATGTTGTGGAGGCCAACTTCCAGAGGAAGCACGGTGAAGGTCACCGGATGACTGGAGGAACCTTCTACTCTCTGGGACACACATCTGGAGGGACTGCTGCCCTGGTGGTTGATAGCTGGGCTTCCTGATGTACAGATTTCCTCCACAGCAGACATTTTAACACAGAACTGAAATATAACCAGTGAACCATTATATTAAAACACTTTATGATAAGGAAGTGTGCCCTGACGTTGTTCGTCTGGATACAAAACTGTCCCTGAGATTTTTACAGGGTTAAATAATCCCTTAGATTCTAAGGCAGAGGAGGAAGCTCATGTTAGATTTTTGGACATACACACACAAGCTGCTGTAGAGTTTAGCAACGTGAAGTGATGTCTGCCAAGTTTAGCCCTGGCTCTGAAATGCCTTATCTTCCTTGGATCATTACCTTCTAAATCAGGTGTGAAGTTGTTCAGGTTCTTTGTTCATGATGTCATGATATCATTTGTTACATGGTGTCTTTACATGCTTGTACTTTAGGCAGTGGGAACCCCAGGCTTGGGCACTTTATGTGTCTTACTCCTCTTTGTATCTTTTAGCTCAGCCTATTGGTATTTAACAAACAATGATTTTAGGAAAGACTGAGAACTCCATCTCTTGGTGTTCAAGGCCCTGCCCAATATGTCCCCACCTTACTTTTCCAATCTTGTTGCTTATTAATTCCCCACTTGTACTCCATTTTACAGCCAGACTTTGGCTCCAGAAAGATCTCGGTTCAAATCTTGGCTCTGCCTCTTACTGTATGATAATATCAGTTCACATGACCTCTTTAACTGCTCATTTTCTCATCTTTGTAATGGGGATAATAATAATAGTACCTACCTACTTTTGGTTAAAACTGAATATTTTTCATCTTCACTCCCAAGTCTAGTGAACCGGCAGAATTAAGAACTATATCCCAAAGCATAAAATCATAGGATACAGAATAAATCAAGCAGGTAAACAAGAAAGAGTGCCAACATTCAAGGACTAATTTGAAGAATTTCTCAAAAACGAAGTGTTCCATTTCCCTCTTAATTATCTTTTTGGGAAATACAATGACCTGGGTGAGTGGGGCAGGAGTTAAAGAAGCTTACTGGCTTGCCCAAGGCCAGTGATTCATTCATTCCCCCAGGAGAAGAGTGGCTTGACAGAATTCCACATAAATTCATCACAAAAATTCCTAATAAGTTGGGAATAGAAAGGAATGTTTAAAACTGAATATCTTCAGTTTTCAAAAATAGAATATCAATTAAATAAGCCTACAGCAGCAGTTCTGTTATAGTGATGGCCAAGTAGATCCTGTTGGACAACCGTTCTGCAAACACAACTATAAGCTCTTGCCTGCACACACACACACACACACACACACACTACCTAAAGGTACTAGAGAGTGGAAGAGAAGGGAGCAGCTGGAAGGAAGGAATGATACTGGGTGAGATTCCTGTTGATTACAGTTTTTACCTGAGGGAAGGCCCCAGTAGTGCCTTGATGAGTGCCTAAGGCCCTGGCAGAAACTGCCATCTATGGGCTTGAAGAACCAGGGGACAGAATACGAAACAGCCCCCAGAGCTGAAAAGTGAAGGCATTCCAAGTTCAGCATATAAAATTTACTTAAACCTGGCCAACCCTTGAACAACACCCAGCACAGATTCCACACATCCAAACCAAGGCTAATAGAACAGAACCGAAATTTCAGGGTTTGGGCTTGAACTCAGACAACTGCCTGCTGAAAAACACAAAGCAGAATAGAAGATCTCCACAGGAACTTGATCGAGTCCAGAGTCACTATAACATTTCATTAATAAGGTCCATGGTCCAATCCAAAATTACTGGGTAAAAAGAAATAAAATGTGACCTATACTCGAGGAAAGCTAATTAAGAGGGATTAATCCTGAGATATCACAGATGTTCTTGTTTCTTATTTTGATATGATAAAATGATTGATAATTTTTAAAAATTAAAATATGGCAGTGCAGTGAGACGTATGGACATTAAAAGCCTGTTGAGTTACAACTGTGTCCTTGCAATTGGCAGCGCCTTGAGCAGTAGCACAAGGCAATGAAAGCACCACATTAGTGGACTGTGTCACAACTACTCAACTTTGCCACGGATGATACCTATACAGATAAGTGTGGCAGCACACTTTATTTATGGAAACTGAAATTTGAATTTCATATAATTTTCATGTGCCATGAAAATTTCTTCTTCCTTTCAATCCTTAAAAAAAATGTAAAAACCATTCTTAGATTAAAGGCCATAAGAGGCAGCAAGTCAGTTTGGGTCCATGGCCAATAGCTGGCCACTGATCTAATGAATAAAGCAAAAGAGATGTGAAAGATTCAGCATTGTCGGTTTCCCTTACATTAATATATAACTTGAGGACAATATGTATCAAAATCCTTTCATAATTTTAACTAAATCCACAAGCAATTACTAGACACTTAAGAGTCTTAGAGAATTCAAACACAGGGGCGCCCGGGTGGCTCAGTGGGTTAAAGCTTCTGCCTTCGGCTCAGGTCATGATCTTAGGGTCCTGGGATGGAGCCCCACATCGGGCTCTCTGCTCGGCAGGTAGCCTGCTCCCCGCCCCCCACCTGTCTCTCTGTCTACTTGTGATCTCTGTCAAATAAATAAATTTTAAAAATTAAATAAAAAAAGAATTCAAAAACATTTCAATTTCAACATATCTACATATTTTTGTTGCATCGAATTATGAGGGTGATCAATAGAAAATATTCAAGCATAAAATACATAACATTAGGAGAGTGAAATGGGAATATGTGTTCACAGAGAAAAAGAATTGATATCCAATCTGTTGTTAATAACAGTTTATTTGGGTATTTTTAAATAGAATGTTATGGTATTTAGATTTTGCTGTATACATTTAAAGTTTGTTATAACCAATATTTAAATATTAACATTTTATGGTGAAAAACTTTAGATCCTAATTAAAAATGTGTCAATGGGGTACATAGTTCACCCCCCAATATTTAGAGCGTATGTAAGCAAAACTTTTGGAAACCACTAAAATACTCATCTCTTAAGAACGAAATTAGAGCTTTTAAAAAAATATAGTTAGATTTTCAGACTACAATGAGCTCCCATATAAAGTTTTCAAGGGAAATCAGTCACCCTATTGTATAATTCCCTTTAGCTGTGTGCTGACAAAAAGAAGACAAGTTGTCCAACCATGGTTAGAATTTTGATGCTTAACTGACTGAGCCACCCAGGTGGCCCTTGTATTCTTCTTTAAATTGGAGTTATAAGAAAATTTGTCTTAAGTCTTCCTCCTTTCTTTATCCCTTCATTGAGTAAAATTTTTGTTTTTTGTGTATGTGATAATTCCATTAATAGAATTCTTATAAAATCAGAGAATTCTTCTTTTTTTCCCATTTATTCGAACATATAATAAATAGCTACTTACCCGTATATCAAACATTCTATAGTTATAAACAGTTCCTTTCAATTGGATCTGCTCCCCTCGTACAACAGAATATGGTATACTCATTTCCAGGAAGACGTCTTTGAACACCTGTGCCTTGAGAGTATCAGGAACACATATACCTTCAGTCCAAAGTGAAAGCAAAATGGAGGCATATTAGGGAATTCTACAATGCCTTATTAGTACTACTATATCTCAGATTTGCTTTGCTTCAAGGAAGAAGGAATATTATATCATGTTCTTCTCTGCACTGTCATGTCCTTGAATTTTCTACTCATTGATGTCTATTTCAGTAATTATTGGTATTAATAGAAAGCTTCATTTGTCTAACAAAGATTTAATTCTACCTAAGGCATGAGAATGTTTATTACCTTAGGTACCAAATTTCTTTTTAGATACTCATTATTGACTCTATTTAATGGGTATAAAATTTTGATTGTGGGAACAAAGATTTTAAGTAAAAAACAAACAAAACCAACACTAATGTTATTAATAAAGTATCTATACTAAATTGCCACAAAAGGGCATTTGCCCAGGAGAGAAGTCATACATTTGTTTCTAACTCTACTCAAACTCCCAGTCACGGAGAAAAATAAAGGATAATGGGGACTTGACATCAGCATTGAAAAAATGATAGCTAACAGAAGAACAGGAGAACAAATTAATATGGTCAAAAATATGTGCATATCCAAGTCTTTTTGTAATACATTAAAAAGGATATTTAACAAATGACACCACTTAAGTCCTGGGTGAACTATATAGATTATAACAACAACAAAAAAAACCAACTACATTTTGCTAATCGAATCATTCCTTAAATGAGTATATAACTTAAGCTTTCTTACCACTATCTGAAATGCCAACACCTTGAATTTCCCAGGTAGTTAGAGAATCAGGTAGCACCAATTGCAGTTGGCTTCTGAAAGTTAAAATGTTAATATTCAAATATAGAGATTAGCCCAATTTACCAGCATTCACTAATAGAATTTTTGCTTCACACTACTTTAGAAGAAAGAAAAAAAGCAGAACAAAACAAAGATATACCAGGTATTAAGGAAAAATCAAGCAAGAAAAATATACTCATTAACTCCCTTATGTGTTGAATTTTTTAAATATTTCACTTTTATGATGAGAATTCAAATTCAGAAAGATACCTTTGAAACACTACAAATTCAAAACATAAAAAAATTTATTGTGTGGTATGCTCTAAAATAGGGAAGCAAAGTCATGCATCTTAACATAGCTCCTAACAAAATCAATGTAACTAAAAATTTCTGATTAAGATTAAGCTAATCTATTTATTTATTTCAATCAACAAACTGCTATTGTCCACCAACTTTGTGTCAGGTATAGCACCAACACTGAGTATACAGCACTTACAAGATAGAGTGCTGTTCTCTAGTAGTTTATAGTCTAGTAGAAGAAGCAGTTAAATTGCAATTCACTGTAATAGTTGTACCAATGAAGCATTTAAAAAGTTCAGAGGCAGTGTGCATTGATTGAACGCATTTATTTGAGTGCCTCTACAAGCTGGACATTATGCCACGTCCTGAATATAAAAGTTATCTGATTTTAGTCTTCATCCTGGAAGTATCATTTTAATATGGAAGATAAGCAGGTAAATAGGCCATTATAATACCATATGTTACATGCAACATGGTTAATTGGGAGGGGTAATTAATCCAGTCACTGGCAGGGTTGGGAGAGTGGTGGGAAGGCTTACCAGAGGAAATTCTAGCCAAGAGACAATGCCAGTTGAAATGGACAACACTGTGGAGGAAGGACTAGAGGGGACAAGGGTAGAGATGAGGAGACCCATTTGAAGACCGATGCCCGGCTTGGGCCTCGGGGCTTATGCTGCACCTGGAAATCAATGTTTTGAATCCCCAGGGAAGGGTGATGTTCAGGGACTCAGCACTGTTCAGCACTGTTTTCAGTGCTTAGGACAGAGTAGGCATTCTATAAAAATGTGTTGAATAACAGGAAAAGAACCTTTCTTCTTATTAATCAATATTTATTTTATAGTATAGGTATTTCAAGATGAAATGGCTGCTTACTATATTTGATCAGTATAAGTATATTGTTCTCAGTAAAGGCTTACTGAAGTAGAAAGAAATTAAATGGAATAGCACCCTTCCTCACCAAGAGTTCATTAATCTTGTGCTGGAGCTAGCTACTAGAGCAAGCACACATTTAAAAAAGAAAAAAAAGTGAAGCAAATAAAACAAAATTTGACCAAATGGTAATAGCATCTTAACTCTTAAATATTGGGAAATAAGTAGCTTCCAGATTTTTGGCCATAACATTTGTATTTTCCCACATTTTTCAGAGGAATGTTGAAGTACAATACCTTTTGGAGACTTGATGAACTTCCCATAACCAGCTTTCTGGAAAATAGCTCCTTATTTCTGGCTTGGTTACTGGTAACAGGGTCTTTATATCTGGGAGGGAAAAGTATGTGTGATTATAGAAAAAAACAACATGAATTTTACTTAGGACCAAATTTTAAAGCATGAACATTAAACTATAACTTGAGTAGTTTCTGAAAGGTCAATGAAATATTTTTAGTTTAGTGATTTCAAAATAGAACTTTAAAGACCTTGATACTGACAAAACAAATAAAGCATAAAAATATCTTTAATGATTTGTTTCTTAAATTGCTAAATGCTTAGTGTTCCTGAGATTATAAAAGACACTGATCAATCCATAAAGTTATTTGCATTTTTATGATTACAATAATTGTATTTATATTATAAAATAAGGGAGGTTTACCTGAGGGAAATTTATTTATATTTCCCTTAATAAAAATAGACAGAATTTCTGCTTCTGTCCAAGATGCACTTATAGGAGTTACTCTTCTGCCTTAAAACACACATACACACTAAAAACAAACGAACAAACAAAAACCAAACCAAAACAAAATCCCTAAAAACTAATCACACTATATAAGGCAATAGTTTTCAGACATTACAGCATAAGTGGCCCTGGGCTATGATTCCTGAGAGAATGGAGACAGGCTAGGTGAACCCTAGAATTGTCCAGGTTTACTGTCTGGAGGCAGTTTGCAGGCTGCAGAGCAGGGAGAGAAACTCATGCAGAACCTTGCAGAGTTGCAACACCTGTGGGAGTTTTGGGAGGTCAAATCATCTAGAACAAGGGGCAGAGCAGAGTACCAGAGGTGGGAGGGAGTAGCAGAGATTTGGTTCTGTGCAGTGGAAGCAAACCAGATGAAAAATATAACAAGGAAAACATTCTTAGTAACTTTCTAGTACATCCTATGTACTAGAATGAGTAACATTCTAGTACATCCTATGTGCTAGAATGAGTAACATTCTAGTACATCCTATGTGCTAGAATGAGTAACATTCTAGTACATCCTATGTGCTAGAATGAGTAACATTCTAGTACATCCTATGTACTAGAGTGTTTGTGAAAGTGCTCCTTGTAATAAGCAAAAAGCTGAAAACAACTTAAATATATCTAATAACACAGTTTTGACAAATGGCCATAAAAATTTATGTTTACAGAAATATATCCACTTGGATGGATGATACTTAAGACATGCTGTTAAGAGAGACAATCAGATTCTGAAACAGGAACTGTCAGTCTGCTTTTGTTCATTTTGTTTTGACTATACATAAATGAATGGAAGTCCTAAAAGTTCTGAAAACGTATTAGTGAGAGGTCTATAAATTCTGAAGACGTATTTTATGGTTGAAACAGAAAAAGATTTCATCTTCTATATAAGTACACCTAACCTTGTGCTAGGTTTAGAAATCTTTGGTTGATTTTGACCAGTATAGGCATAAACAAAATTTTTATTGGTTGTACTATCTCAGAAATGTAGAATTCTAGAACTCAAAGGCATACTGGAGATCGTGTAGCTCAAGTTTCTTTCTTGAAAAATGAGGAGATTGAGGCTCAGAGGGATATATAGTCATTCAAGTTTATAGAATGAGCTGGGTTTAAACTCATCTTGGCTCTTGACTATGGGTTTGTGAGCTCTGCTCTATACTATATGTACCTCTTTCGACAGCCATAAACAATAACTGATTTCCTTCTGATGGGCATTTACAAGTCATCCTTTCTAATTTCCACTGTAAATAAAGCATTGAAAACTGCTCTTTTTTATCAGCACAGAATTACACAAGATGCCCCAACTGGGGCTGAATTCTGATTTAAAAAATGTCAAACTTACGCAGTCTTCCCAACTGGATATCTTTGTGAGACTCTTTGTCACGGATCTGATTGGCGATGATACAACATTCCTTGAAAATCTTGACGCATTTGGGGCCTATCTTAATCCGAGCAGCGCGCCGCTCACAGGTCTCATCATAGTTAAGATGGGCTCCGTCATAGCAACATTTCTTCAATATGATATGTTTATATTTCGCAGCTGCAATGGTAATGATGCAAGCGTCCCTGATTATGCATGGAGTCATAACACCTCTGGCTCAGGAAGGACCTTGAGAAGTACTTGGTTCTACTGCCACACGACCCCCTGCCCCACAAGAGCCATGGCTAGGTGAATGACCAGCTGTTCTGGGTTGGCTGCTCTAGGAATGGGGAGAATGTGGCCCCAGCAGGTAGATCATTTTCATTCACACTAAATGGTTAGAGAGCTTCTGGTAACCACGCTAAATGCTAACTGTTGAAACGGGCACCTTGGGTTCAGTACACTTTGAGCAAAATAAGTTAACTGAGAAGTCTTCAAATATTTGAAGATAGCTATCAGCTCTATACAAGGGTTTCCTTCTTGAAGTTACAGATCCTATTTTTAAAATTTTTTCTTATGTGATGTGATTTGTAGACCATCAACAGTGGCATCATCGTTTATGAGAAGTGCTCAAATTACTCAGTGTCTTCCTTTTCATATCATTAGAACTTAGAACAAAGGTTAAAATTAAAATAACTCACATATGAATGGGGGAAGGAATTATTATTACTTGAAGCATGATTATTAGTTGAACTCAGGTGACTGACTTCCAGTTCAACGTTCTTCCTATTTTAACATTGCCAATGATCATATTTATATTTAAATAATTGTTTACAAATAATTTCTATTAGACTGATTTCCCAAAGAATAATCCAAAATATTACTTGCTGTTAAATCTAGAATATAAGAAATAGGTTTCCAGGTACATTCCAAAGCTAATCGAATCATGGATTTTGTCAGAATAAAATGGAAGAATATAATTCTAGCTGTCGAATGAAGTCTGTAGAAAGGAAATGTTTGTAACAAATCAAAGTTAATCTTTTAGATTTTAGAAAAGAAATAATACTTATTTTCTTCCGATTGAAATTATAGCTAACGAAGTATTAGATTTATTTGGATTAATCTTTCTGAAGAGGTAAGCTAGACATCTGTACATAACTTTATTTTCATCTATTCTATTTAGATTAAGGAAAATTACATAATAATTAGTTCTCTCTAGCTTTTGAATAATAGGATCATAACCTTTTCACAATCATATGAAATTTTAGAGTACCTTCCTCTTCTATTTTCTTTCGCAGCATTCGTTTTGGCCTGATAATTTCTTCACAAGGCTTATCTGTTAAAAAAAACAAAACAAAACAAAACAAAAAAGAGAAAAAAAGGAGATAAAATCTCAAGAAAATTCCATGAAGTTATTCAAGTACGTAAAACATTCACAAATCATTCATTTTATTCAACAAATCCTGAGAGCCTGTGTTCAACCAGGCACGGTGTACCACACATCTTAATATGAATTGTTTTATCTTGGAGGAGCTCACAATCAAGGGTCATCTATAGAGTTTGACTTGTTTGATTTGAGTTTGGTTTTAAATCCTGCAATGTTTTTGATCCACTGATTACAGAGAAATATCCAAGCATTTAAAGTAAGCAAAGTTTTTGTTGGGTACGCTATTTTTATTATTTGTTCTTTGTGCTATAATATTATGGATAATAGGTCAAATATAATTATGAGCAATTCTAAAGCCACAGAAAGACCATGATTAAGATGCAGTCCTTGTCCTTAAAGGGCTCACAGTGCAATGGTTGAGACAAGATACATAACTGCACGCAAGAATGTGCCGCGATGCATTACGCACTGCTGCTGTGTTGCTTGTAAACAGAGCTGGTCCCTATAGTATTCTCCTGTGAAAGGAGGAGGGAATGATCAGTTCTGCATGGGGAAGAGGCCTGATAAGAGGAGGTGATTCTTTCACCAGCTTCTTCAGACCAATATAAGGGAAATTATATTTCCTTATATATAATTAAGGATATATATAATTAAGTGGGTGGCACTATACTATTGTACACCTTTAGGCCTTTCCCCATCAGGAAGGATTTCCCCAATAGGAAATCCCTATTTCCTGATGGGGAAAGGCCTAAAGATATACAAAAGTATAATGCCACCCAAAAGGCCACCAAGCATAGTACCACCATACTTGGTTCTGGACAGCTTAAATGCAAGGTAGGGTAGATCAAGATGAAAGATAGTTGGAGAGAGCCAGGGAGAAGATCATGGAAGACTCTGAGGACTACACTGGAAACTGTACTTTATCTTAATGGTCAGTAAAACATTTTGTACTGGGAAGTTATGTGGTCATGTCTCTCTAAGATCCTCGTAGAGAATATTATGGAAGAGAATTACATAAATGATATCCAGGAGGAAAATGTAAATTTCAGTAATCAATTTGAAGAGTAAACAAAAAATGCTGAACATTTTACCATTTTCTTGGGTGTCATCTGCATTTGCATTGGTGAGGAAGGTGAGTCCAGCCAAACGGAAAACATCCGCATTGTTCTGGCCACCACCTGCTCCACAGCCCAGGTCGCTTGCCTCTAAGGTTTGAAACACCTGTCCAAAGTTTATGAGCTAATTTAATAATTCTTAGGAATTCACTAAAGGCAACATGTTGAGTCTATTTAGATGTATAAATCATTCCTCTGAAGTTGTCACATGGTTATAACAAATCAGATCACTCATTTGTCAAATGGTCAAAGACCAAATTTCCCAACTTCATTACTTTAGTTTGATCTTTCATATTTGTCAACTCATACTTACTGAAAATTAAAACAAGAACTAAGGTCTAAGTTTTGGTGAGAGTTGTTTTGTGCATAGAATGAATAGTTTCAATATAACATAAATAATAAATACATACATACATACATACATACATGGGTTAGTGAATTACCAGACAAATTAATTCTTAAGTTGCTAAAGAAAAAAAAGGAGCATGACCTCTTATGTTTTGCGGAGGGAGACTCTGGGTTCTACATGGGTGACAACTTGTTCAGAGAAGCTTATTCCAGTTTTAATTTTGATCCCCAATTTTTTTTCTTTTCTGACTGTTTTTAACTGTACAGTTTTTTCTTTCTTATTCAAAGAGATTCAAGCCTATATAATAGTAGCAGGGCCTAAGGGAGATATATGGGAATTTAAGGGAATTGAATAATTTTTACATTCTTTTGTGCCACAGATTTTAAAGAGAGTGGAAAAAAAAGTAGGCTGCCGGGGCGCCTGGGGTGCTCAGTCGTTAAGTGTCTGTCTTAGGCTCAGGTCATGATCTCAGGGTCCCGGGATTGAGCCCCACATCGGGCTCCCTCCTCAGTGGGGAACCTGCTTCTCCCTCTCCCTCTGCCTGCTGCTCTACCTACTTGTGTTCTTTCTCTATCTCTCTGTCAAATAAATAAATAAAATCTTAGAAAAAAAAAAAAGTAGGCTGCCTATCCAGGCTTCTCTTGCACCACTACTATAAAGTCCCCAGCTCTTCTATATCAAAACTCTCCCAATCGATGGCACTTTTGTCCCATGAATATAATTGCCATCATGGTCATATGTTTTTAAAGTGCTTAAATCTATACTTGGAAAAACAAAAAAGGATAAACTATGCTTTAGGGACTGACGAGGAGATGGCTTACCTTTCTAAGAACCACTGTTTTGAGCATATTACAGAAAAGCAGGCCTGGTCTTTCCGTAATTTTTCCCCACAACCTACCCTAGGGCCATACTTTGTGAAGCATTGCACAGTCACCCATGCACCAGCAATCAAGGCCAAGCACTACTTAACTCTTTCCAGAGGCTTCTTGGCTCCCCTTTGGACTCCATATATAGCACGGTCCACTGCTGATAGAGCCACCCAGGAATTTGACTCTGTTGCCATATCAAGAGATACATGTTGGCCTGGAGAATATGCACTTGCTTTTGGAGACAGATGAACCTGAAAGATCATTTGAAAAAGAAAAGTTCATTTGCATGAAACAAACCTTCACAAATAGTTATATTTACAGTCTCCTTTACACAGAAGAAAATTTGATAGTGACTCACAATTTGTGACTCACCTGGAGTTGGTTGCCACACTTTTCTTCAATATTCAACCAGACGGAGTCAGACACTAACTCTGCTGTCTGCTCTCCTGTGACAATGTAATAGACCAGGAGACGGGCTGAAGGAACCATGTCTTGTGTCACTGGAATGTTTACATTTTGGTAAGTTGAATCTAGAAGTTTCTCCCTTGTGCCAAAGTGAACAATTTTGCCCTTGGATAAAATCTAAAAATAAAAGAGCAGTAGTAACTATTAAAAACAAAATATTTGCTTCAGGATGGAGCTTGGAACTGGAGCAGAAATTACATTAAAGAAAAAGAAAGTTAACAAGCATGGGCCCATTATGTGTCAGGACCTTTTATGTTTACTTAATTCCTTTCTTTCTCATAAGAACCAGGGCATGAATATTACCCCCATTGTGCAGAGAGATAAAGGGACTGGAGCTCAGGAATTAACTAAATGTCATACTGATTTTGCTCAAAATCACATAACTAGGAAATCAGAGAGCTAATATTTAACCCCAAATCTGCTTAAAGTCATCACACTATTGCTAAAATCTCTTTCATTTTATTGATAAAAAAATAGATGAGTAAGAGGAGTGCATATTATTTGGGAATTAAGTTTTAAAGCCAGAGATTAGGTTCTAAACTGGAGGCATATGGTTTAAAAAAAAAAAAAAGGTTACAAATGAAGCCAAAATGTCCTCAAAAGTCACGTAAATTGTCCTTGGACAGCAGGACTTCATACACGGTTTTGTTACATAGTCCCAATACAGGTCCCATAACTCTTCATCAGTCACTATGATATCTGTGCTCCTCATTTTTTTAAAATTTCTTCCTCAAAAATGTTGAAAAAGCCTTCACCACCTGTTTGACCTGGCCATCAGAATAACACATCCCATTTTTTTGACAATTGTTAGGAAGCCCTTAACCTTTTTCTTACCTTCTGTCCTAGGTTCTACCCACAGGCTTGATTGGTCACCGTTGTTTAATATAACCGAAGTAATAGGGACTCCAACTCCACAGAATTGGAGTAGGAATCATATGACTCAACTCTTAAGAGCAGGATTTGGGGCCCCCTTGTATGCCAATGAAATGGACATATTTGAAATAGGTCTAGGTATGTATCTTTGGCCATGAAATAGGGCAGAAGTAATGCGAGAACTTAACCAGGCTCTCTCTACGGAGTAATTAGTCTCTCCTTAGTGAAAGGCGTATCAGACAAGGAGTCAGAGGTTCCCAGTTCAAATCGAAATCTTCCTCTTCCAAGCTGAGTGACCACAGTAAGCCTCTTAACCTCTCTGTTCCTCAGTTTCATCATCTAGGCAATGGTCATGAAATCATGGCCCATCTCAGAGGTTTTTGAAAAATTGATTATCAAATTTGATTATGTTCTTGGAAGTGCTTTATAAAAACAAATGTGAGGGATCATTCTCATGTTCCTCTGTTAACAAAGAGAGATATTCAGGTAGGGGAATAGACAGATGTAAATCTATCATTACTGTACTTACCAAGTAATTATAGTGAGTTATTTTGTCAATGTATGGACTTCTGGGGGTAACAATAATATTCAGATATCCTCCCACTTGCAAAGCTTTATAGTTGTCAATCCAGTCAATATAAAGGTAACTTTGGCTAAGAGATGAATATGATACTGCTTGGTAATCTCTGCTGGCCTGATTTTCTTCAGGAAGATCTGGGTCATCAGTCCTGACCTGAAAAGGAAAATTTCGAGAAGCTATGTGGACTGTAACGAAATATTTTCTATGAAAAATACCTTTTAAATTTCTTTCTTTGCCTTATAAATTTCTAAATTTCACAACACCAATGCTAAAGGGAAAAAAGACTCCATTACTTCACTGTTTGTACAGCTGTGGTATCAAGTAACTTTACCGGACTCCGGACAATAATTGGAATAATATGGGATTATGAGCTATGGTGGGAAAGTCTGGTGAAGTGAAGAGGGAGAGATGCTCCCAGAACAAATATTAGCACCCTTCCTGAAACGTCATGGCAATCTGGGGACTCCTCTTTTTATGGGTTGGCAGGGTAAGAGAAGGGTAGTCGTAGGAAGGTCTTGAGGACTGGGGACAAGAGTTGTAAATGAACATCACACAGACTCTCTGGTCCGGTTTTAATGTGAAGTGGTGGCACAGAGGTGTACTTATAAATATGGAATGGGGCAGGAGTGATATCTTGGCAGCAGTATCTACTTTTCACAGCAAAGGGGGTACTAGCTCATGCTCTGGAGTGAGACAGGCATTTGTTTGCCTCCCAGGGCCTCCATTTATTAACTCTGGAGAAGTTATTTAATCACAAGAGAGGTTAGAAGTCCCCTCTCTTTCCCCAGCTGCAAAATAACAAAGAGTATGTTCTCTAACTCATGGAGCTAACTGGGTGGTAAATGTGTTCTACACAAATCTCTCAATATTCTAAAAGTGCTCAGCAGATGACAGTGAATGTGTGCGTGCTGCAGTCATTGATGTGCATTATTAACTTACTCATTTTTTATTTGGGATTGGGAACTTAAGCAGTATTTGCTGGGAGAGAAGCCTATTAACTGAGCTCGAAGTTAGAGTGGTTTATGCAGCTAGGAAAAAAGGAGGCTTCTGGGCATAAAAACAGACACATAGACCAGTGGAACAGAGTAGAGAGCCCAGATATGGACCCTCAACTCTATGGTCAAATAATCTTTGACAAAACAGGAAAAAATATACAGTGGAAAAAAGACAGTCTCTTCAATAAATGGTGCTGGGAAAACTGGACAGCTATATGTAGAAGAATGAAACTCGACCATTCTCTTACACCGTACACAAAGATAAACTCAAAATGGATAAAAGACCTCAACGTGAGACAGGAATCCATCAGAATCCTAGAGGAGAACATAGGCAGTAACCTCTTCGATATCAGCCACAGCAACTTCTTTCAAGATATGTCTCCAAAGGCAAAGGAAACAAAAGCGAAGATGAACTTTTGGGACTTCATCAAGATCAAAAGCTTCTGCACAGCAAAGGAAACAGTCAACAAAACAAAGAGGCAACCCACGGAATGGGAGAAGATATTTGCAAATGACAGTACAGACAAAAGGTTGATATCCAGGATCTATAAAGAACTCCTCAAACTCAACACACACAAAACAGACAATCATATTAAAAAATGGGCAGAAGATATGAACAGACACTTCTCCAATGAAGACATACAAATGGTTATCAGACACATGAAAAAATGTTCATAATCACTAGCCATCAGGGAGATTCAAATTAAAACCACATTGAGATACCACCTTATACCAGTTAGAATGGCCAAAATTAGCAAGACAGGAAACAACATGTGTTGGAGAGGATGTGGAGAAAGGGGAACCCTCTTACACTGTTGGTGGGAATGCAAGTTGGTGCAGCCACTTTGGAAAACAGTGTGGAGATTCCTCAAGAAATTAAAAATAGAGCTTCCCTATGACCCTGCAATTGCACTACTGGGTATTTACCCCAAAGATACAGATGGAGTGAAAAGAAGGGCCATCTCTACCCCAATGTTTATAGCAGCAATGGCTATGGTCGCCAAACTGTGGAAAGAGCCAAGATGCCCTTCAACGGACGAATGGATAAGGAAGATGTGATCCATATACACTATGGCGTATTATGCCTCCATCAGAAAGGATGAATACCCAACTTTTGTAGCAACATGGATGGGACTGGAAGAGATTATGCTGAGTGAAATAAGTCAAGCAGAGAGAGTCAATTATCATATGGTTTCACTTATTTGTGGAGCATAACAAATAGCATGGAGGACAAGGGGAGATGGAGAGGAGAAGGGAGTTGAGGGAAATTGGAAGGGGAGGTGAACCATGAGAGACTATGAACTCTGAAAAACAATCTGAGGGTTTTGAAGGGGCGAGGGGTGGGAGGTTGGGGGAACCAGGTGGTGGGTATTAGAGAGGGCACGGATTGCATGGAGCACTGGGTGTGGTGCAAAAACAATGAATACTGTTACGCTTAAAAGAAAAAAAAAAGGAGGCTTCTGTGTTTGACCCTTTTGTGTCCCCCAAAAAAAGATTAAAAGTCCGGGTGAAAGGGAGAATATTTCTACCACTGGCTTCCACTGATGTACCTATTCTGAAGCTTCTAGATTCTAATAGAGTCTTGCTAACATAAGAGAAAATAATTCCCCAATAAAAAACGATAGATCAATCTTCCTCAAGGACCATTCAATGGATTAGCATATTGCCTCTGGTTCTTGTGTTTTTGGATGCAAAATTGTGGATCTGTTCTCTGGACTCACATTTAAAATCTGCCATATCTGCTGGGCACTCTAGCCAAAACACAGAGTCAAAAGCACACGCTATCCTAGAAATTCAACAGGAGAATTCAGCTTACGTTAAACTCGAGCACCGTTGCTCCAGATGGAAGATTAAGCACAAATGATGCTACTCCATTACTGGAACGTGTTACTTCTTTCCTTGGCTCCAAGTCAGACATCTCTTGGTTTACATCAAAGGTGTGTGCACTCAGGGTCACCGGGACCCCTCCTACCAACTGGTCCAGGGAATCCTTAACCTGCACCTGTTTGTCAGAATAGTCCAAATCCATTTCAGCAGCTCATCACTACTTTTTAAAAAAGCAGAACAATTCTGAAATAATTTTTATTCTTCCCCACAAAAGTATAAATCATTCATGTTTACTTTAGTAAAGAGAAGCATGTTCTTAGCGTGGAGGAAGGTTTGGTTCTATTTAGTTATGTCATTTTCTAATGGATTCCCTGTATGTCAAGCAGACTCAGGACATAAATATCATTCTACTAAGTCTATTAAGTAGAGGTGATAAGGTCTTCCGCTACCTAACTTCTGTGACTCTTCAGTGTGTTTAGAACCGGATAAAGGAGAAAACAAGGCAATCACATTTGGGAATAATTTTCTTAGATGCGACAAACAATAAATTCATCTGTTTTTTCCTCCTAACCTCTCTTTACCTCTCATTGCCATGCATGTGGCCACACATAATTTCAACAAAGATATGCTTTATGTTATTTTATTTTTTATATGTGATAGAAAATATAGAAAATATTTTAAAATAATATAGATATATTCAATATAATACTGTTATATTTGTGGTATTTTATTAATTATTATTATGTATCATCTATAATATACCATAAATCATCATATGTACCCTATAATAACATATTTTGTAACATATTTATACTAATGAAAGAAGCTACAAGCATGTCCAAAGCTTGCCTTAGCTTGGCAAATCTTTTCTTCTTAAAAGCCAGTGGCCAGGGTGCCTGGGTGGCTCAGTGGGTTAAGCCACTGCCTTCGGCTCAGGTCATGATCTCAGGGTCCGGGATCAAGTCCCGCATCGGGCCCTCTGCTCAGCAGGGAGCCTGCTTCCCTCTCTCTCTCTGCCTGTCTCTTTGCCTACTTGTGATCTCTCTCTGTCAAATAAATAAATAAAATCTTAAAAAAAAAAAAAAGCCAGTGGCCATTTAAGTCACTCTCTTAAGAGTAAGTATTAAGTACATTTTAATTATACCAAAGTTGATTTTTTAAAACTACAGACTTACAGTGTTTTATTTACATATAATTTAATGCAATGCTTTTTAAGGGAATGCCTAAAGGTTGCTCTAAGCATTGAAACCACTCCTGAGGCTGAAGCTGGCCTGCATTTTCCTACCTCCCCTCTACATCCACAACCAACCCCCGCTCCACAAACCAACAGGTGAGTTTTCTCTGTGATTCCCTTTTCCAGCATCCCTCCCCTGTTTGACACCCTCAGGGTTTTTGTAAACAGAAAAAGGTAACCACATTCAGCAATATTCTTTCATTTACCTTGATAGAATATGGAATCCCAGGCTTCAAGAAAAGAGGAGTAGCAACCAAATTCAGTTTGTAGGGAGAGAGGACATATCTGATGCCAGGAATTTCAGCCTCTTCAGAAAATCCACCTAAAGAAATGACATGCATCACATCAAGGATTATACCACTCGGTATGGGTATGTATTTTACCTGTGCATGTCTCCATAGACTTACTCATTCACGGGCCCCATTCCTGCATTCATTCATCAGGAGTAAGTAGGACCTGGGTCTTGGTTCAAAGGAACAGTGCAGAGAAAATTTTAGACCTTGGGAATTTCCAAAGCCTTACATCCAAGGCTTGTGTGTAGAGTCACCCCTTATGGAAGGAGACTCTACGGTTGGACTGAGGAGGAGTGTGCGGAAGGGGCACCACTTTTTGTCAGTGACCTGAGTTTCAGTTGAATATGTACAAGGGGTTATGGAGAGAAGGAAAGGACTAGACACTAAGCTTTACAGGGTTTCACCTATAGAGCACATGATACAGACAGAACTGGATAAGGCAGAAGAAGAGTGCTTGAGGTAACGGGAGCCCTGAGAGTTCACTAGTGGGAGCCCAGTAACGCACAAAGCTCCAGTATCCCTAAACTCCTTTCCAGTATTCATCCCTAACACTTCTCTCTCTATATATATCCTATACTTCAGCCAACTGGATAATCAACTGGATAATCTCAAAGATCAAGTCTTGCCTTCTTACCTTTGGTACATCCCCTCTATGGAGGGTGTCTCATTTCTCCCCCATCTACCATCCTTGCCTCAAAACCCTACTCATCCTCCAAGAATCTCTTCAGGACACTGTATGTGGTCGCTCAACAGTCACCTGGGAGCTCACCTTCCTCTGGAGATCAGTAGCATCAAGTACTTTGCTTATTAGAGCACAAAGAGAATTCCTGCTTATAACAAAATCCTTTGTTTACCTGTCTTACAGCTGATGCTAGTCTGTAAACCACTTGAGTGCTGGGATTATATGTCATCCATATTTGTAAGCCTGTATGTTTAGTAATACTCTTCGAATATCTCACAAATACTGATTAAATGGAATTTGTTTGAAATAAATTGAGAAAAAGTAAAAGTAAAAAAGATATGTTAAAATAATGTAAAAAATAATATCCTGGGCAAGGAGCATCATTCTCTAATACCTATTGATCATCTTATATATACAAGGTACTCAATAACTGAATAATTATCTCAATACTTCATTCTATGACCCTTGAAGAAAAATTTAAAGAAGAGGAAGGAACATTAAGAATCATCTTGTCTGGGACACCTGGGTGGCTCAGTTGGTTGGGTGGCTGCCTTTGGCTCGGGTCGTGATCCTGGCGTCTTGGGATCAAGTCCCACATTGGGCTCCTTTCTCCACAGGGAGCCTGCTTCTCCCTCTGCCACTCTGTCTGCCTGTGCTCACTCTCTCTCTCTCTCTCTCTGACAAATAAATAAATAAAATCTTAAAAAAAAAAAGAATCATCTTGTCTAACTCTCATTTTATTAAAAAAAAAAGGCTAGTGTGGTTAAATTGTTCAAGTTAGTTTAAGAGTTCACTGTAAACCTGAAAATATAAAGAATATTACTAATCGAGACACCAGAAGTAAGACAAATTGACCTAATTTGGAGTAATAATTAATAATTATTAAAAACCACTGGAGTTGGGTGGAGAGAATTAGATAAAATTTTAAGGATGCTGAGAAAGTAGTAGGTAGGAAGAAGAAAAGAAGGATTAGGAGAAGAAGAAGAAGGAGAATAGGAGAAGGAGGAAGAAGGAGGAGTAGAAGGAGGAGAATAGGGGAGGAGGATGTGAAGGAGGAGGAGGAGAATAGGAAGAGAAGCGGGAGAAAGATGTGGAGGAGGAGGAGGAGGAAGAAGTGGAGGAGGAAGGAGAAGAGGAGGAAGAAGGAAGAGGCAGAGGAAGGTGGATAGGAAGAAGAAGAAAGAAAAAAGGAGGTAGAGGGGAAGGGGGAGGAGAGGGGCTAACACACATATAGTTCTCACTATGTGATGTGTACTGTTTTAAGTATTTTGCATATATTGACTCTCCAATCCTCACCACAGTCCTATGAGGTATATGTAATTACTGCACCCATTTTAGAAACATTACCTCCAATTTTAGATAGAATTCCTGAATATTACAGCTAAAAGGGGCTTTAAAGAGGTATTTAGTTCAACTCCATCATTGTACAGATAAGGAGACTAAATGATAATGCAGTATCTTTCCTTTGCATAGTACTTTATCAAACATTTTTACATATATAATATCATTTAGATTTTTATTCTTACCAGTAAGAACACTGGGGTTCTAGCTGTTGAAGCCAGATATCAGGATATCAATATCGATTGGGCAGATGCTACCCCATTTTGCACTAAGGGTGATAGAGACCCAGTGTCTAGAGTGTGAGAGAGCTCTACTCTAATCTCAGTTTCTAATGATATGAAAAGTAAAATTTAACTAAGAAAGAAAATAAAATACAAAAGAATTACAGAAATTATTTACACTTTTAGTATGCTGTCCAAATAGTATTCAAGAGAAATCAAAAAACAAAAACCTTACCTGCTGACTCTATGACTGTTACACCAATGTAAAGATACTTGTTGTTTAAATCTTCCAGACTGCCATAGGACAGTTCTTTGATCGCCGTTTCAGAGTTAAATGTGATTTGAGCAACTCCATTTATCAACTTTTTAAAAGTGGAAAATGAAAGAGGTATTTCAGGGAAGTTAACAGAGAAAAATTAACAAAATCTGGCTTTACTAGCTTTCTAAGTAGAAAGCAACTATGAGAGGAATGATCTATTGTCACCTGGAGAGTGAATGATTAAGTCTACAAATAAGCCCAGAATGTTATTTTCTAACTTATGGGTCTAGATGTATAGGAAGAGTCGTAAACATCATGTGGTTCAACAGGTCTTTTTTGCACTAGCTGACAAACGTTCCTTTCCCTGATCTCTGAGTCATCTTCCAACTTTGGGGCCTGCTCTCTCCAGCTTACTTTTGCTCCTGAGAGTTTGCTGGGTTTTATGATATTTAATTTGTACCTCACTGCTTACATACTGAACCCCTAATTTAAAAACACACAATGGAGAGAGGGAGATGGAGTTAAGTCATATTACAATATTTAATTATTAACCACAACAGTAAAACAGATTTTGCCTTATTTTTCTTCTAAAATTGAGTAGCTTGAGGCCAGGGATTTTTGTCTTATTTACCTTCATATCCCAGTGTCCAGCATAGAATCTTACAGTAAAAAGAGGTGTCTGCTTTATATCTTGGATAAATAAAACTCTTTGGAAAAGCTTTGGCTGAATAACTGATGATACAAACCACACAAATATGCAAGAGGGAGCAGAATGGCAGGAGTCCTTATCATCTGAGGCATAACGTCAAGAACACTGAACAAGCAAAAAGGGATCAGGGTTCTAATTTGAGCTCCGGCAACCACTAACCCTTAACTGTAGACAAATAACTTCCCAGTGAATTCGTTCACTCACAAATATTTATAGAGCGCCTACTCTTTGCCTGGACTCAGGCTGGCTCTGGGCATATAACGGGAAAAATTAAGATCCACAGAGGGGTTGGTGTAGAGAAGGATAATTGCAATAAAAAAGGGTTTCTCAGTGTCAGCACTATTGACATTCGGACAGGGGAATTGTTTGCTGCTGGGAGTTGCTCAGTGCATTGCAGAAGTTTGGCAGCATCCTGGCCTCTTTTACTAAATGCTAGTGACACCCTCCTTCCCTGTTGTAACAACCACAAATGTTCCTGAACATTGCTAAATGTCCCCTTGGGGGTAAACAATGTCTCTGGTTGGGAACCACTGTAATAAAATATGAAACATACTCCACTAAGGGAGGCTAAAGGCCTAAGGGAGTACCTGGCAGGGGCAGCCAACCTAGTTTACAGGAGTCGGGGAGACTTTCCCAGAGATAGGGAGCTAACACTGAGACTTTGAGAAGGAATTAATTAGCCAGGGAAAAAAAGAGGCAGAAGGGACCAAGAGAAAGAGCATTCCCAAGTAGAAGCAGAGGCATTGCAAGCACCTGGAGGCAAGTGAGACTAGTAAAAGTTCCAGGAACTGAAGTGACCAGCGCCAGGGAGAGGAAACAGGGCACGAGAGGGAGGCTGATGTCATGGACAGTGGACTTTATCCTGAGGACCAGAAGAAGCCAAGGGAGCATCTTAGTTTTGATTTCCACACCTATGTAAAATGGGGGGTTGGACTAGATGATTTGGAAGTGACTTTTCTCCAGCCTTCCTGAGGTGTCTTTAGGTACAAGTGAACCCATCTTAACATCTTACCATTTTGTTTTGCAATGCTTTTTGCATCATTTCTTTTTGATCATCTATTAAGTTGTCTCTTATTCCAAAAGTGATAAAAACGTCAGCTTCGGTGACAACTTTATTATAAAAATATCTGCCAAACAATAATACCATAAAATTATTTTGCTAACATGGTTACAACAATAAAATTCACAACTAATGTAATAATTTAAAATTACATAAAGCATTTGATTCACTTTCAAGTGTTTTCCATCCACTATTGCATTTCATCCTCTTAAAGCTATAAAAATAAAACGAAAGTGCAGATATTTATTACTCTGTGCTAAATGAAAAAAACAGATCTTGGGGAGATCAAGAGACCCCTCAGGTCCAGAACCAGGATACACTGCTTCCTCAATGATTTGGTATCAGTGGGGCTCAGTTCCCTATTTTCTTTTACAGCTTTAAAAGCAGCATGCCCAATCTCATTGTAATATTTCTTTTTTAAACATTCTAACTGCGTATTTCCTTTTTAGTTTGGAATTAAAGTGAGGCTAAAGGAAATTTCCTGCATAACAAAAACACTGTAGCAAGAGCTGAGCTTCCTTGTCCATAGGCTGAACAAATAAAGTAAGTGTTTCCCTTAAAAGAAGTCAGTTTCTAGAATTCCCTGTTAAATGAGACTTTGTGTTGGTTTGGACTAAGTAACATTCCATTTTAGGAATAAATGCTAGTAAGAAAGGCAGTATAGGGTAGTACTGAGGGCTTGAATTCTGAAACCAGACAGGCCACATAACTTACTAGCTGTGTGATCGTGGGCAAATAAGTTAATATTTATGTACCTCTGTTTTTTTTATTTGTCATATGGAGACAGAAATAGTATCTGCCTCTCAGAGATTTCATAAAGATTAAGTGAGCTCATATATACGGAGTACTTAGAAAAATGCCCAACACATTTCATTATATAAATTGGTTATTGTTACTAATAACTACATTATATGGTCATTTTTATTTTTATTTTTTAAAAGATCTTATTTATTTATTTATTTGAGAGAGAGAGAGAGCACGAGAGGCGGGAAGGTCAGAGGGAGAAGCGGGGAGCTCAATGCAGGACTCCACCCTGGGACTCCAAGATCATGACCTAAGCAGTTGCTTAACTGACTGATCCACCCAGGTGCCCTATATTGTCATTTTTAAATAACCTGTGTTTTCGCAGAAGATTGCTTGCAAAACTAACTCCAGTTTTCCACTGCCCCTTAAATCCACCACTTTTGTAGTTCCTTGCAGATGAAAGGTATGAAGGGAATCGATTTCCTTTGGGCTGGTCTTATAACTTGATTTGGACAAATGAATGTGGTAGAAATGATGGTGAGCCAGTCCTAAGCTTAGACCTCAAGAGGACTTTCATGCTTCCATATTCTTTCCGTGGGTATTGCTGCTACTACAGGCTAATCTCCTGGATGATGAGAGGTACACAGAGTCCGGCTGTCTTTGTCGCTTTAATCAACCGTCAGACATGTGAGTAAGACCTCCCTAGACCAGCCAGGCCCCAGGTGACCTGCCAACTGTTTGCAGGCACACAGGTGAGCCCAGCTGACATTCAGCCTGGCCCAGATCAGTGGAATTGCCCAGCTGCCTCATAAATCGTTGTTGTTTTAAAGCATTGGGTCTTGAAGTAGCTTTTTTAAGCCATTAAAAAATGACAAGAAATAAAGACTTCATATCTCAGTCCCAGTATCCTAAGTCATGCTGATTCCTAAACATACACATTGGACTTAAAACTTTAAGTTTGTTTGTTTGTTTGTTTGTTTTTTTGTTTTTTGCTGTTGAGTAACCTAAAAAGCTAAAATCAGAATCAGAGAAAATTGAAACGAGTAAATAAACTATAGGCCTGATATCTCCTCAATCAGTCAATCCCAAAGTCATAGTAAATCACAGATCACAGCAATATATGTGTGTATTAAGTCAACACATTGTACACTTTAAACTTGTACAATGTTACATGTCAATGATATCTCAGTAAAGTGTGGGCAGGTGGAGGAATCACACTTCTCACTTAAGCAACTATCACCAACCAGACTTGGCACTCAATTTAGCTAGATAAACTGAAAGAAAAAAAATTCTTACCTTGCTTTTATTGTAATTTCAAAATCATTAAAGTCCTTATAGCTAATGAAATTCTTTTCTGGTTCTATTGAGACTGAAAAATGTGGCATCACTGAAAATAAAAACAAAGAGGCAATTTTAGCATTTAAGTTAGAGTAGCCTTCTTTCTTTCTTTCTTTTTTTTTTTAAAGAATTTATTTATTTGACAGAGAGTGAGAGAAGGAGAGAGAGCACAGGCAGGGAGAGCAGCAGAGAGAGAGGAGGAAGCAGGTTCCCTGCTCAGCAGGGAGAGAGTAGCCTTCTTTCTGGTATAGTTGGACAAGCTGTAACATCAACACAACATTGACCTTGTCATCATCAAGACCATCATCATCATTGCCAACAATATCCGTGGGGGACCTCTCACTCTACCAGAGGTCTCTCCAGCTTTATGTACCAGAAGTACTTTGCTTTTACTTTGATTACAGCATTTAGTATAGTCAGTTGATTATTTCCTTCACTAGAGTATGGGGTCCTTGAAAACAGAAAAGACTGTATTCTATGTATCTTTGAATATCTCCCCCTCCCACCCTTTAAACTGTATTTAAGACTCATGAGTCTTAAATATGGTATACACTCAATGAGGGTTTATTAAATTGAAAATGGAAAATGAAAACTCTTGCTTATTTAAAGTTCCCTTTTATGTCATAACCCATAAACCTATGGTTTATGGACATAACTCATCCGGTTACCCAACCAGAAACCCATCTGGTTTCCAAATTCCAACATAAAACTCTGACTTTAGTCAAGAAAAGAAAGCTTGGGGAGCCTGGGAGGCTCATATGCTTAAGTGTCTGCCTTCAGCTCAGGTTGTGATTCCAGGGTCCTGGGATCGAGCCCCATGTTGGGCTCTCAGCTCAGCAGGAAGTCTGCTTCTCCCTCTGACTCTGCCTCTTTCCCCTGCTCATGCTCTCTCTCTGTCTCTCTCTCAAGTGAATAAATAAAATCTTTTTAAAGAGAGAGAGAGAAAGCTTACAATTAGCTAAAAGAAAGAACACCCATACAAAATTTAAAATTAGTGTAGAAAGGAAGGAGTTCTCTCTCTCTCTCTCTCTCTCGCATTGATTGCCCGAGAGAAAACAATTTCATCTGTCAAAGTGGCACTGCCTTCTCTTTAGACTAACTAAGACCATGTACCAGGGCTTATGGAATCTAATTCTATTAGCCAGCACAACCATTAATAGAAAATTAGGTAACTCAGTGGCCCTGATATTGTGGACAAAGATCGACACATAAGTTTAACATAAGCTGGCTTCATATATGAGTCATATTTCCTAGACCGAGAAGTCTAAAAGAAGAATGCACTTTGTTGCTCTAGGCTGCATTCCTGTGTTACCATAGATGAAGGCAGTTGTATGTATGAGGTGGAGGAAAACACTTCATCCTTTCATCTAGTACCTACTTGCTGCAGAGCAGGCACACTCTTATTGACGGGTATATCACAGTGAACAGAAAGACACAAACCCTGTCCTTACTGAGCTCACAGTCAAGCAGCGAAGATAGTGATAAACAAATAATTACACAGATAAATACCTACACCACAGTTATGAAAACCAATATACAAGTATAGGGAATTCATTCTTCCTAAGAAAGAGAAGTTAGGAAAAGATTTGCTGAATAAACAGCTTTTCGGCTGAGACTTGAAAGATGAGTAGGAGTTGGCTAGGTAATCAGGGAGGGGAGAAGTATTCTAGGCAGATGGAACATCATATCCAAAGTCGCCACTGCTGGAGGGAAGTAAGGGGATGCACAGTATAAAATGAGGCTCCAGAGGAGGAAGGCAGGACCAGCTCAAAATAAGGATTCTTATTTTCATAACAAAGGAATGAGGAGCTACTGGGGACTTTTCAAAAGTGAAATAACATGATGAGATTTGCGTTTAAAGATTTTGGCCAATACCAAATGAGAATAGCTTGGAAGAGGAGATAGCAGTTAGGAGGCTTTTGCAGTAGTCCAGGAGGGGGCCTGGTGATGAATTGATGAGGGTGGCCATAGACAGTAGGAGGTGGATGAATTCTAGATATACACAGGAAGCAGTAAAAATACTCGGAGGAAGGAAGCTCAGTTAGGATTATAGGTTATTGAGAGCCCATTATCTTTTAAAATTGTTTTCAGTGTAACAAATTTTTTTGGTCACTGTTTGTTTTTTTTTGTTAATTGTTAAAATTTGTGTATTTATTCTCTGTATTATTATAAGTCTTCTGGAGGAATAAAAAATGACCTCAAACAAAAGAAAGTTAAACTCGATATCAGAACACACAAATGCTTTAAAACAACTACAAGAAATGGAAAGACAGGGGAGTCTGGGTGGCTCAGGTGGATTGGTGTCTGCCTTCAGCTCAGGTCATGATCCTGGTGTCCTGAGATTGAGCCCCGTTCCCTTTGTTGTGCTCTCTCTCTCTCTTTCTCTGTCAAACGAATAAATAAAATCTTAAAAAAAAAAGAAATGGCAAGATAAGCTTTTTATATGTTAATTATTAGTCCATCAATATGATTGATTTCAAAATAAGGATGTCTTAGAATTCCAGATAAATATATTACGGATTTGTGAGCCAGAAGAAAAATAGTACTGAACTCGGGGGATGGAAATCCAGTTGTTTCTTTTCCGTCACTAAATGGTTGTAATGATTTGAGTAAATCTTAGTCTTACTGGGTTCTGCTTACCTCATCTCTGCCTATTTAAGTTTCTCCAAAAATCACAATTTTTGCCTTTAACTTGTCAAGCTTCCTGGGTCACCATGTTTCTTCTGGCTCTGTGATGAGGAGCACAAGTCCAGAGAGCTTGATGGACTTGTTCAAGCTCCACGAGTTCTTGTAATCATCCCAGCCAGGTTGCCTCATCTTTATCTGGGAGTGATTCTGCATTAAGTTCACTAATGAAAAACATAACTGCAAAAACACTAACTTTTTACGAATAAACTTTTGTCACAAATTACCATATTCTTTGATTTCAAAATATGCCACTCCAGTTGTTGAAAAGTCCTCTTTATATTTAGCTCGGATTGTCCACACACCATATCTGGGGGAGACAAAATATTTAAAATTATAGAAGTCATCAAATATTTTTAATTTACCCAGAGGAAATCTAATTGATTCCTGTTTTAGAGAGGAGAAAGTAGAGATGTATTTAGCCTAAGTAATATATTTTATTTGTGCAGAACTTTAAGTAATAAACAGAAATAATTGAATGTTTTCAGGATAATAAAAATGTTTAAGTAATGAGTTTTTCATATTCTGTCATTTTTTTCAAGTACTTTTTTCTTAATATAGTCAATAGCTTTGATTTGAAGAGCTTATGAAACCTTTGAAGATTATTTAATCCTGGAACATAGTTACACTAACATAATACCAAAATCACACTATAGTAGGACATCCATACTAATGTCTCTAGAAACATAACAGGTCAAGATTTTCCAGATGATAAAACTCACACCTCACATAAAAGAAGTTATGGTTAGAGACAAAATATGGTTTATTTAAAGAGGAAAATGACCTGAATTTAATTAATAATCTTCATTTAAAAATATTTGCTGAGTACTGGGGTAAGAACTAGAGGTAAAAGTGAACAAAATAGAAGAATTTCTGCCTTTATAGAGCTAACAATCCTTGAGATTTCCAATTCCCACTTCTCCATTTACTGACAGATTAGATTTGGGCAAGTTGCTTAACTTCATTTGTGCAATAAAAAAGATCATATTTATTTTGCGCATTGGTTATGCAATCAATAACACTTAATACTATGACTATCATCATCATTAATTCAATGAATATTTGTCAAGTGCCTGTTATGTTAAAGTTCTGAAGATACAATAGTGAGCAAAACAGACAAAATAAGAAGGCAAATAAACAAACCAATAAATAAGTGTAACACTGAGATATGTGCCATGAAGTAAATAAATAAGAGAGTTAGAAGAGGAGAGGGACTATATTAAATTATGCATCCAGGGATAGCCTCTTTGAAAAGGGAGCATTTACTCTGTGTCCTAAAGAATGAGCAGTCTGCCTTGTGAAGAGCAAGCTGAAGCACATTCTAAGCAGAGGGAACAACATGTGCAAAGGTACTGGGGTAGGAAAGTAGTGCTCATGAGAGGCCACCATGCCTGACACATAATCTGTCAAGGAACAAATGGCACAAAATACAGTTGGATAATAGTTGGATAAATGATTATAGTTATAAAATAATAAGATCAATTCTATGATATAGAGCAGGTAGTATTTTCAAGGAAGTATGCAATTTAAAAATTAAATTCCCAATTTCACTCACATTTCTAGAAAATCTTCAGTGAATTAACACAAACAACAAATTAACTGTGAGCTCCCTTCCAGAGGGCAGAAAAATAACCACAAGAAGATTTTGTTTTAAAGTTATATTTAACCATTTATGAGTACAGTTATTTGTCCTACTGTATTATAAATTCCTTGAAGGCAGGGACTGTGGATTATTCATTTTTATTTTGTATATCTCACTCTCTATGTGCTTTGCACATACCAGGAATGTGTTCACCAAATCTTTATTACATTGCATTCTGTTAGAACTTGTTCTTAAATCCCTTAAAATGAGGCCCGCCAAAAAGAAATGGCTCTGAGAACCCTCTCCCTCTCGAAATCTGCCTTCTGGTAATCTACACAGACAAAGACTATGGAGGACCAATATTTTTATAACTCTCAGAGCAAGGCATGGGACCACTCCAGCCCTTTTGACTGATAATCTACTAGATTCCTTGAAGGGTAGAGGGTTGATGGTTTATTTGTTTTATTTTATTTTAATGCCAGTGAGTTAACATACAGTATTATATTAGTTTCAGCATACGCTATAGTGATGCAACGATTCTGTATACCACCCCATGCTTATCCCAAGTGGACTCCTTTGTATACCTCATCCCTTTCACGCTTACACCCTTGTTAACAACAGGCAGCTCCATTTGACTGGTTATCTCTCTCACAATCCAAAGTTTCAGATGTGTTTTCTAGAGAAAACTTTATTAACAAATACTTTAAAATACTTAGGATTAGTTGGAATCTTGAAGTCAGGAAAAGAGATGATTCCAGTATAATCGTTTTCTTCTACAATGTCCACTTCTGATCCTTCGGGATCCTTTGAATAGAAACAAACAACCTCAAAGCATATAAGCCACATTAAAAAAAATCAACTGATTATAATATCTTTGACCTATAGGAGTATTTACTAACAAAGATCTATGTCTTCAAATTAAATACGAAGGAGGAAGATAACTTAAATATTGTGGAAGGCAAATAGGGGTCATTTAAGCTACTTCCCTCCCTCTTTGAAACTGTTCTCCATCTCCTGCTACACGCGTGTGCATGCGCGCGCACACACACAAACACATACACACACACAGATGGAGAGAGGAAAGGAGGAAGAGAAGGTGTATATTGGTATCCAGGATATCCTTGCCACAATTATCCAGAAGAGACTCAACTTTCTATTGCATGACTAAAATTAGAAATATAATAATAATAGAAGTTACAACTAACCAAACATGAACTTACAGGCTTTATAGATACCGGAATCTAAACTTCATATCTGTTCATTTGAACTTTTCCAAAGCAAATATACTACAAAATGCTTTAACTAGCTAGATATTTTATAACTGTGCACTATGGGTATTTTGAACTTGGTAAAACACTCAAAATGGTTAAACAAACCCGAAATTTTTCATAAAGCTTCCCCATAATCTCCCCTTTGTATGTGGGTTTGAAAATTATCAAAACAAGGTATTTTACTTTCTTTGGACTACATGTAGAAGTTCATTTTGACCGTAACACAGAAATTTACCATCATGGGTCATGACTGTGGAATTCATGGCTGGAATTTTAAGGTATTTTTCCCTGACGTTACAAAGGTCTATTCTGCCAAGGATCAGGATAGCAGCTAAATATCCGCGGGGCTGTTCTTTTTCCCTGCAGCTGATCATGCACAGTGCTTATAAGATGGTATCTCTTGAGCACTATTTTCAGGACACTTCTTGTACACTGCATCTTTGTGGCTCTGGGATCAGCTTCCTCAATCCTCTCTTCCTGGGGCAGCTCCTACATGGGACAACTGGCATCCACTCTTCCTTGTGTGGTGCCAGGATTTTTCATCACTCAAGCTCAACCAGGAGGAATAAAATAAAAAGCATCTGTCCACATCCTCTGGTATTTTCTGACAGAAAAAGGAGGACATGTAAGCTGGACACTTTCCTTCAATCCTTTCCAGACTCCCTATACCACTCGGTCTGTTTATTGTTTATCTCACTTCTTAGTATCTCACTTCTTAGTCCTCCTTGCTGCCACTGGAAAACTTGTGCTATTTCTTAGTTCTATTTTATAAAAATCCACGTCTATTCTTTTACCTCTAACCTATTCTATTCCAGAAAAGGATGACTGTCAGCCATGACTCTTAACTCCATTTGGTCTGCCCTCAGAGCCCATGTGTCATTTGCCCCACTGTATCATTCGTTTAGTTTATACTCCAGCGTGCTTTTGTTCCACGGTATCTACTCAGTGTGTACATCTATTCCTACACAAAAATCTTGGGTTCCAGAGGGAGAAGACTCACGCTTTAGGACAAGCCAGCACACTCAGACGGTTGTCGTTGACTGGTGAATTCCTATCCACTTCCCTGCAGTTGTCTACTACCACCAGCTTCCTCTTCCTGCCCTCATTCAGGCAGTCTGGGAGGCCACCCTCTGTGTTTCTCCTGCTGCTGATAGCACGCCTCTCCCTGCATGGGGACTTCTGCGGCAGCCCAGCCCAGGGTTCCCTCACTGCACATTCCTTCACTTCCACTGCAGTGGTGCTCATGGCTACACATGTCCCTTCCATCCTTGGTCCTGTCACTTCAGTAAGTCTGCAGGAACTCCCCACCACCTGCTATGTGAAGTCTTCACTTCCAGATCTGGTGATTCAAGTGTCTGGCCCTAGTCTAACCTTCAAATCTTACTTACCTCTCTGTTGCCAGGGATGCCTCTGCCCTGGAATCAGGTTGCTTTCTTCCTGTCCAATCCCTTTCACCTCTGACTCTGCTGTCCGTCGCTCCTTTCCAGCAACCCGCTCATGTCTTCTCTACCACTCTCAATTCTACTCATTGTTCCAGGCCCAGTCCAAATCTCTCCTCTTCCCTGATGGGTCCTTTGGCCTCCCTAATCTTTTTTCTGGACTATGGGAGTTTATGGTCTGTATTGATAGTTATCAACCACAGTCTTGGCCCACTCTGATGTTTCACAGGTAATTCATTATAAAAGAGCTAGACGTTAGAGTTTGTGAAAGGTTTATGATTTGTGTAGGCTATAAAGCATTCAAAGTTATCCCTATACATTCCTCCTCTTTACTTGTGTTCTGGTAAAGTTTTCATCTTCTGGGGTGGTTAGTAGGAGAAAAGTTGCTGCAGTTTGCAGGGAAGGGCCATGGGTAATATACCTACTGTTAATAGGTGAACAGTTATTTCCCCACAAAAATTTTGTAGGGTTGTGATACAAACTGGGTAAGACCATGGGTGCTTGTTGCCCTTGGGCATGTCATCTGTTACATATGTCATTATGTCATTGCTGAAAAAGGGTTGATAACTGCTGATCCTTATCTCAGGTTTAACACTATTTTTCACATGTGCTAGTATGTTACTAAACTTTAAGTTTCTTAAGTGTAAGTACCCAGATTGTAATTCTTTAAAATTGTACAAATAAAAAATCTCATATGTAATATTCAATAATAATCAATCAATTCATAGTGATTGATTGATGCCCTTTAGGAAAGAAGCCATGAAGGATATATTTAAAGGATTTAGTTCAAAATCAACTTGCTGCAAGTGAATTTTCATGAGTGTTTTACATTTATCTATTGTAGAGGTATAGACTTACAATGTTTTACTTACAGAAGATGTCAGGTAACGAAATTTAACGATTTCAATGTCAGGTAACATTGAATGAGTTAGTGTGGTATTAGGGCAGGGTTATGGAACAATGTATCTTATCCTAAAGATGAGTTAAATTATTATTTAAATAAAAAACATACTCACTATGTACGTTAAGACAGTTTCTCTTTTGGCTGGCTTCAAGTCATCATTCAGTGAGTAAACTCTAACCTTTACTGTAAAAACAATTGATATCATCAAAACCTCTGCTAAACACAAGGGTATTTTGATTTTTTGCAATAATCATCCTTAAAAGAGATGAGTATAATTTTTAAAAATCACAAAAATTTTTTATCACAAAAATTCATACTTAAAGGAAAGAAAATGTTACTTTACAGACACATATGTTACTAAAGATTATTTTCCTTTAAAGACAATCCTCTTGGATTCCTCTAAAGAGCTACTTTTCCTAGTGAATTTAAAGTACAGTCCACTTTATCAAAATATATTTCCTTACAACTTCTTGGGAACACACAGTAGGCCATTGTTTATTGAGAATTTCATAGTAGCAAAATAGTGATCTCTCCCTTATGGTTATATGAGAGTATACTATATTGTCTTATATTAGAGTTATGGATTTTAATGGAAAATTAGATAATTGTTAGATTCACTAAGCCAGATCCTATAATTACTAAATTATTAAATGAGAAATGGCAAGAGTTCAAGAACAATTAGTTCTCTTCATTTGTTTCTGCCCATGAAAAGATCCCTGCCTTTTAGACAATTGCATCTGCTTAGAAGTGAACCCTTAGCTGCTTGAGACAAGCTATTCTAGTTCCTTCCAACATGACATATAGTGATTTCTCTGATGTTCATTTACTGATACTCAGATCATTTCATGGCCGAAACTTTACTCACAAAATAAAACTGAACTGGAATCACAAGCCCTTTAAAGAGTCAGTATTATGTAAAGCTCTACAGAAGAAGTCACATTAAGCTCTCCAAAATTGGTTTCACTAAAACCATAAGGTCAAAGCAAAATGTTCAGTAAATACCCGCCCCCCCACACACACACATACACTGTCTGCTGTTCCCCTTCTCCCAACTTTTGTCCTCCCTCCTATATTCTTCTCTCATCTTGTGTCCTCCCTCTTATATTATGGACATAACCAGCTCATCCCTTAGCATCACTGGGATGCTAGCAGAGGCAGAATGTCAGAAAAAAGTAAGAGCTCACACCCTGGAGTTCAAAACTTTGGTTTCACTCCCACGACTACCACTTCCTAATGGCCCTGGAGTAGGACACTTAATCCTTCTAAATCTTAGTTCTCTCATTTTAAAATAGAACTGTTAGTATCTGCTTTATAGTGTTATAAGAACTAAATGAGACAAAGCTTTTACATAGCCTGGCGCACAATAACTACTCAATAAATGCTTATTATTTTTATTTTAGTATTATTATTTCTATGTCTACTGTTTATCTGCTTTCTAACCCAGTTTGTATTTAGATTAGAAAGTTAATCTTCATAACAACAGTGTATCAGAGGCAAGATCAATATAATTCTTTAGTACCAAAAATGTGGCTTGTTAGGTTTTTAAAAAATGTACTGATGCGGGTGCCTGGGTGGCTCAGTCGGTTAAGCGGCTGCCTTCAGCTCAGTCATGATTCTGAGGTCCTGGGATAGAGTCCCGTATCAGGCTCCCCACTTAGCGGGAAGCCTGCTTCTCCCTCTCCCACTCCACCTGCTTGTGTTCCCTTTCTTGCTGTCTCTTTCTCTGTCAAATAAATAAAATCTTTTAAAAAGAATGTATTGATGCCTTCTATGTGCAGGAACTATGCTGTACTTGAAGATATGGTGGTGAGACAGATCAGACATGGATATCTTTCAGTGGAGTGGAGGAGAGAGTGAACATATGACTACACAAGAGTATGTACAATTCCGGGGTGGGAAGCACGACAAAGAGAACTGCCAGGCTTCCTGAGAACACAGAAGAGGGAGTTCTGAAGTGGTCAGAGAGGTGAGAGAAGGCTGCCCTCTAAGGATGCCATGTAAGAGTTGCGTAGGTGTTAATCAGGAAAAGTGGGGGTGGGGGTGGGGCTTGGGGGAATGAATGTACCAGGCAGAGATATACAGACCTTCACATGAGGGCAGAGTGGGGAAGAGTGTGAGAATGCAAATAGAAAGAGGTCAGTTTGGCTGGTTTACACAGATAAGGGGGAGCATGGTGATTGAGAAAGCTGGAGGGGAAGGCATGACACAGGTTGCATGGAATTGAGGGATTTGGGTCAATAAAGTCCTTATCCTACAAAGCCTTGAAGATTTAAACCTTTATTCTAATGATGCTTATATTAAAAATCCCTCAAGGATCTTCAGATTAAATGTGTGGTTTAGGACATTAGAGCTATAAATAGGAAGATTTAATCAATTTCTGAGGGACCACTTTTTAAAATCCTTTTTTTTTTTAATTATTAATTATTTTTATTAACATATAATGTATTATTTGCCCCAGGGGTACAGGTCTGTGAATCGTCAGGCTTACACATTTCACAGCACTCACCATAGCACATACCCTCCCCAACATCCATAACCCAACCACTCTCTCCATACCACCCCCTCCACAGCAACCCTAGGTTTGTTTTGTGAGATTAAGTCTCTAACTAAGAGACCACTTTTAAGTAATTTTTTTCTTCTGTGTAAATAAGGCTTTGTGCTATTCTACAGATCAGATAGTAATGGAAAACACTTTCCTAGTGCTTACTCTGTTCTGGACGCTGTTTTAAGTGCTTTACTCATATGAATTCACCTACCTCTCACAACAATTCTGTGAGGTAAATTTTATTCTCTCTATACTGCCCTTTCTCCCACTAACAAAGGAACCATGAATACAAAGCCATGTTCTATTAGAAATAAGTTTCCCCTTAGAAAATTAATATTCATCTATTCTGTGATCTAGTTTATTCTTTGCTGAAACATCTGATCCCCTAGGGTTGGATTTTTTTTCGGAATTTTGAAGAATAGCTCCAAAGTCAAAGGAAGTTGTTTTTATGAACCTGGCTCTATAATAAATTATTTTACCATTGCCAAAAGTATAGCTGCAATTACATCTTATACTTGTTTAATAAATAAGATATAACACAACATTTCACCATTTTAAAAAACTTTCTTCTTTGTGGAAATAACTAATGGGGCAGATAATATAATTATTGATTTTGCAGGTTCCATATGAACTTAAAATTTATATTTAAGTTTAAATTACATATTTAGCAATCTCCATATAAATTTTAAATTAAAATATATTTATAAATGTAAAAATCATTGGGAGTTGAGACTCGAGCAAGCTGGAAACCTGTTTACACTTAATTTCAAGTGTTAAAAGATCTCTACAATATGTCAATCACCTGCTCTGCACCACAGAAAGCATCATCTTATACCCTACCTGACTGTTCTGGAGTGTAAACAGGTTTGTCTGTATGAATGAAGAGATATCCATTCTCATCGGTTATTGGCACTTTTTTTGATCTTGAAAAATGCTTCGATACAACTTCCAAATACACATGTGAAACTGGCTTTTGTCCTCCAGACAATTGTTTGGGTCGTATCTGTAAAAGAAAAAAATGATGGAATGGAGTATAATTTTCAAGTTACAAAACATGTTGATTTTCTAAATACTGCTGTCATCTCGTTAGAACACACACAAAAATGAGTGTATGTATTTAACCATTTAAAAAGTAGTAGAGACAGAATAGTGAATAAATTTTACTCAAACCCTGTCAGTGTCAAATATCATAGATAAAATTTAGCTTTAAGCAATTAAAAAATCTTTTGGTTTTCATGTTTCCTAGATTTTATATACATTTAATAAAACTACTACTACAGAAGCTTCTTAACAAACTCTCACTTGGCCAGCACTGGATTAGTATGTTGTCCACTCCCTCAGTTCCGCATCCTGATGGATGTTCGGGATATGTTGTACTATATCTCCATCCCTCTGCTCCCACCTGTTGAGCTGCATGCTTTCTCGTTTGGTGCATGTAATCGTAATTATCCACTTTACATTGCATGATATGCAAATATAATACATAAAGGGTAATAAAAGAAAGAGAAGTGTTTCTATGAAAACTCAGGCTTTGGACACCTGGGATGAAAGTTAATCACTAAAATCAACTGCTGTCGAATCAAGCGTGAGAGCGCTGTCAAAGTTTGGAAGGTGGTAACAGCCCATAAAGATTCTGCTCTCAGACTGCCTTGCAAGTGTCTTTAAGTTCCTTCTCCACTTGAAAGGAACAGAAACTGTCAACAAAGATGGTTCGTTAAAGGTGTGACACGTAATAAATAAGATTTGACACTCCAACCAGGGGACCCATGTTTAAAGAAAAGACCTTGGCATAACATCAAACAACTGGCAAACAAAGATACATTATAATGTTAGGATAAAATTAAATGCTGAAGATATGTATCAAGTTTTATGATTCTCTACTTAATCTTTCAATTAACTATTTGAGTCCACACGAGTCATGAGAACTTTCTGTGATGATGAAAATATTCGATATCTATGTCGTCCAGCATGGTACCTACTTCTTATTGTGACTCATAAACTGAAATTTTTTTATTTTAGATAAATTTGATTGATTTACATTTAAAGGTAATAGCCACACTAAATATCTTAGTGACATCAGGTAAGAGTGTCCACTGACACTGGGTGGCTCAGTCAGTTGAGTGGCTGCCTTGGGCTCAGGTCATGTCCCAGGGTCCTGGAATGGAGCCCTGCATTGGGCTCTCTGCTCAGTAGAGAGCCTGCTTCTCCCTCTCCCTCTGCCTGCTGTTCTGCGTACTTGTGCTCTGTCTCGCTGTCAAATAAATAAATAAAATCTTAAAAAGAAAAAAGAGTGTCCACTGAAATTAATTGGGAAATTAATTTTAATTCTTAATAAATCTAGTAAGGGGAAGTATTTAAGAAATTCAAACATTTACAATAAGAACATTAATAAAAATTCTTTCATTTGGTTAGAATTTATTTAGATCAATGTTTCTCAAACTTGAGTAATATACAGACCTCCTTGAAAGGATAAAATGTTCTGAAGGACTCTCAGTGCTGACTTTTAATTATTTGTAATATAATAAAAATTTATTTTTATTACAATGATACTTAAATATGTACAGCCCAAGACTAGGTGTAATCTTATGTTTACAAGGTTTACATAATTATGAAATCAAAACAAATTTACAAAATAAATTCAAAGTACTAAATATCAATATAATTCTAATCTTAAACTGTCTTCAAACTTCAAATTTCAAATTCTTTTTAAGGAGTTCACTTTAAAGAAACACTGGTCTAGGGTTGCCTGGGTGGCTGGGTTGGTTAAGTGCCTGCCTTCAACTCAGGTCATGATCCCAGGGTTCTGGGACTGAGCCCCACTTCAGGCTCCCTGCTCTGTAGAGAGCCTCCTTCTCTCTCTCCTTCTCCCTCACCCTCTCCCTCACCTGCCGCTCTACCTACTTGTGCTCTTTATCTCTCTGTCAAGTAAATAGTAAAATATTAAAAAAATAATAAAAATAAAGAAACACTGGTCTACATCAGAGCCCCTTTCAAGTCTAGTAGTGTTTCATTTTCTGGTTTTTTATTTTTGAATTTTTATCAGACTTTAAAACAATATTTTGAGTATAAAAGTAATTTTTAGTCAGAATTTTAAATAAGAAATGAGTTGCAAGCTCTTCTCTAACCAAGGTACACTATAGTATCAAAATAGAAGGAAAAGTTATTTGATCCATATTGTTCTTTGTATTAACTACAGGTTGTCAATGAGAGCTATTCAGTTTAGTAATCAGTAATTTCATTAGTTTTGGAAGCTATAATTGACAAATACCGGATAGCAGTCTTGGGTTTTTGTAGGCAATGCATTACAGATCAAGATGCATATTCATATTTTTCTATTTCTTTGTAATGCTAGTTTTCGTAGTAAACATGTGTTTTCAATTTATTTCCAAATATTTTTACATTAGTGCAATTTTTTTTTAAGATTTTATTTATTTATTCGTCAGAGAGAGAGAGAGAGATCACAAGTAGGCCGAGAGGCAGGCAGAGGCAGAGGGAGAAGCAGGTTCCCTGCCGAGCAAGGAGCCCGATGTGGGACTCGATCCCAGGACGCTGGGATCATGACCTGAGCCGAAGGCAGCCGCTTAACCAACTGAGCCACCCAGGCGTCCCAACATTAGTGCAATTTTATTTTCCAATACAAACATCATAATTTACATATATTGCTAAAAAAGCAGACACGAAAAAAATTTTCCGTTTCATCCATATTATCACTGGTGACTGACATCACTTAGTATCCACATAGTGGTAAGTGATATAAATGGCCAAATCTCTATGTTATCAACATTCAAACTTGGTATACATTTTACTGAGGATATTCTGTTTAAAGAAAATGAAGAATAAATACATACTGTTAAGGTTGCAGAGTTCTGGAATTTATTTTCTGAGGATAAAGTAACATGGCCTGAGGAGTAACTAAATTTTTTATCAGGATAACTTTTAATAGAGATTGTTGCATCAAATTCTTCGGTATATCCATAAGCTTGAATTACAATATTTTCAGATGCTCCAACACGAAACATTTTTGGTGCCGAAATGACATACCTGTTGAAATAGGAAAAGAGTAGGACCAATATCTTGAGGTGATTTATTTTGTTATATTTCTATTTTTTTTCATCTCACTTGAGAGATTCAAATAGGCATATTTTCTCAACTTAAAAGTGATCATTTTAAAATCAAAATTTCTTAGTGACCCATGATAATCTCAGCATAGTTTCCAAGAAGAAGTAGCTTAGGATTAAGACTTGAGAAATAGAACTGGAGATTCAGTTAACATTTAGAAATAATAACACCTTCCCTGAACTACTGCAGCAGAGAAAGACTTTAAATGCTGTTGTCTGGAACATGTAAATAGAGTCAGTATTTTTGCTCAATGAAGAAGAAGGCAACAAAGACGCCACTGCATGAATTGCAGCTCTGTCATCTATTGGCTGAATGACCATGGTAAAATCACCAACACTTTTAAGACCAAAATAATTTACCTGTGAAAATATCACCTTCCTGACCAGCTTGCAGTAAGGAGGAAATGAGATACATACATACTTTGTAGATATGTAGGCTTTACATATGTGATTTGTACTCAATAAATGTTAAGATTCATTAATTTCACTAAATTAGTTAAAAGGAAGTAATTTTAGAAGTATTGTGTTACACCATGAGTGGATAAAGAAAACAATATAGTAAGAGTGAGCTGGGAGCAGGCATTTAGAAACAGAAGGAGTGATGGAGGTCTTTGAAAAATAGTAACAATCGTACAACAATAATGATATTAATAAGTGAATAGTTACCAGAGGAGAGGCTGCATTAGCACTCTATATACAACTCTCTTAATTTTACAACAGGCCAATAGTGTAGATACTAATATTATTCCTATTTTGCAAGTGAAAAGAGGATAATTTGAACAAGGTCACATCGCTTACAAGTGAATGAGGCAGAACTTTATATTCAGGTCTTTCAGTTAGTTAAACGTGTATAATTGGGGTCAAGGTTACAAGCTATGTTCACAACCACAGGCTATTACTTCCAGTTTTATTTTTCATGTGGTTTATACAAGAATAGTAATGAATCTATACAAGTTTTTAAAGTAACATTTTTAAATGTGTGTATTTTCATTGTTTTTAAAAAGAAAACTTAAAAATACAAACTAGGTTATTAATTAAATATCATGAAATTTTCTCATTTGAATAGTGAGAGCTACATGTGCTAATATAAAGGAAGAGAGAAGTGTGCTTCAACCCAAAAGTTCATAGATACTAATTCAAGTGACAAAACAGGCCTGGAGGCCACCTGCCACTGCACCTTGCAGAACTGTCAACATTAGGACATTTAAAAAGTCAGCAAGTCTTTAGTAACAATGAAATTAGCTTGGAAGCAATTCCATCCTTTTAAAACATCTGGCAGTCTACATGACAACTAATTTGGAATCACATATAGACAAATTATAAAAGAGGTGAAAGATTCTCCAGAGTTCCAGCCATCATCTGAATTCCTCCTACACTTACAGAAGAGCAGAAAATGAGAAAAGTTAAGCTCTGGTGGCAATAAGGTACATTTCCTGAAATCTTACCCTGTGCTAGGCACTGTTTTAAGGAATATCTATATAGATATTTTCACTGTGTTGCTACAACCACTCTGTCACTCTGTGAGAAAGGTCTTATTATTACTCTCATTTCACAGATGAAGAAAAGTGGTAATTTACTTGCCCAAGGTCAAGCAATTAAGTTATAGAATTAGGAACTGAACCCAAGCAGCCTTTTTCCTGAATTAACAATTTCAATTGCTATACTAAACTGGATTTAGCAAGAGTTTTATAATCTGAAAAATCTAGGGGGCGGGGAAGCTATTTCAGTTTCAGCATTCTGAGAAGTTTTATCTTTTCCAGTTTAATATTGTTTTAATTTTGAATTGTCTATGTGGTGGTGGCAGTGATAAAACATAAAATATTCAGTATTTAGAAGTCCCTAAAAGATGGCTTTGGAATCACCCTTCATACAGATTTTGGTCCTTACTGGTTTATCAGTACCACAATCACATAAAAAAATAATATTTAAAAAATGTATCACACGTTTCTTATTTTCTTTCAACAGTTTAAGAAGATCAGGCTACTGAGCTTGCAGAGAGGCAACAATATCATTTTGGCCTCTACTTAGAATGTTCTTTCCCCAGATATTTACATAGTTTGCTCCCCCCTCATTTCCTTCAAACTCTGTTTGAGGGTCACCTCCTTCAAGAAACCTTTCCTTTCTACATTTTTGGGTAATGCTCCATTATTTCCTTATCCTCGGATTCTCCTTTGTTTTTTTCTTCCTTGCATAATAACCACCTGACTTTATTTATTCCTTCATTATTGGTTCATTGATCCATCCATGATTTGCTTCTCCCACTAGAATGCAAGCTTTATACCATCTACTATATACCCAATGCCTATCACATGGTAGGTGCTCAATAAATTTTTGTTGAATCAATCAGTTAATCAAATTAATTAAACTGGTTGCCATGCCACAAGTGGTACACTCTCACTTTTTCAAAGAGAAGAGAAGATATGCTCATTAAAGGCCAGTACAGTGTAGTGGAAAGAATTCAGAATCATGGGACCCGGGTTCTAGTCCTAGTTCTACCACTGATTTGAACCCACTAATCTCAATATTTCTTGAGTTTCTGCCACTTGTCTTTTAAAAAGGGATATACAAGAACTACTTGGGAAATGGGGTGATTGTGGCTGTGTGAAAAAATCAGATTGGGGTGGGAGAGTGTTATAAATTTATGATAGCCTGGGTATACATTTATATTTTACATATTTGTATATATAATTTATGACAAAATGAAAAAAAAATTGAATTGGTATGAAAGAGACCTTAATAAAAACCTTGCTTTTGTCTCCTTCAAGCAGCATGATCTTTGGCATGTCACTTTCCCCTCTGTCTGGATTTATCCTTATTTGTGAAATGAGTAATTCAATTAGATACTCTCCAGTTCCTTCTCAGTACGAAAATGTTATTTCTAGATGCAAAATCAGTATTTTTAAGGCATACCTTAAAATGCACAATATTTCAATAATAACACTAAAATTTGTGAAGAACTCACAAATTTAGAAATAATTACAACCTTTTTTTCAAACCACAGTATTAGAATGGAACCCAAAATAACACTTGCTTTACTATGTATAGTAACTGGAACACACAAAGAAAACTATGTACCAAATACAAATAATCAATCAATGGCAAGAAACTTTATAATCTTGAGTTTATTTTGTGCTTTTTAGAAGAGGAAGTCAAACAATCACTTATGTAAACTTTTATAAATAACAATCCCATAAAGCTGACATATTGTTAGCCATTCATCACATCAAGATGCTTCCATGACATTCTCATTCAGAGATGAGACTATTCACTTGGTATTCTAGGAAGTAGAAACTTATTTTCAAATTAACATTGTTAAATTTTTCACTCATCACAACTAAGATGCATTGAAAAATGAAGATGGGTTCTTTTACTTACGTTTGCTCCTGTCCCCAACTTTTACCCAGGAAGATTAAAAAACAAAGTGTGCCCCAAAGGCCCATGGCTGGAGTTAGCAGTAAACCATGGATATAACCTTCTTGAAGTTACTCTCCTTTTAAGTAAACTGAGCTTGAAGAATTTGGGTAAATTAGTTTACTGGTTAATTATTAATGTCAGAAAGAGAAACTAATCAGAACTGAAACACCCTTTAGTGCCCAGATGTAAAGGTATTTACATCGAGAGATTTATTTTGATTAATACAAATAAGGTACTCTAACAGGGGAATTTGGCACTGCAATGAATGGCTCAAAGCCAGAAGTCTCATTGCTTTTGGCCTTTCCCCTCTTGATTAGGACAATCATTTTGATGTATCATCTGTGAGCACACCTTTGGTAGATCCACTCTTATACTGACAAAGATCCACTTGGATTCAGTTTCAAAATGAGGTGATTTGGGGATGGATCTGGTTTGGACAAGGCTCCTGAGGTAGTCTTTCTAGAGAAATCCTGAGTAGTAATATCATTGGCACTGGAAATGGCCTAAGGTTAAGATGGATTTGCAAAGAACCTCTATAGAATGGTTCCTTGGTCTGTCCCAGTCTAGAGAAGAACCTGAACGTCAGGGAGAGGAAAGATTGTGATAGGCAATGAAAATGCTATGTTGAGGACCTGACATCATTCCCTAGGAGATAGCCAAGCAAATACTTTAATATTTGGTAGGGAGTGGATAGCCTCTAATATCTCTTAATTCATACTACACAAATTTGAAGTTTGTATTCATTCTGATGCAGAATATCTTTTTTAAAAAAATAAATTCGCGTTTATACTTTTCAGTGAAGATTTTAATAATTGTAATATAAGAAACAAGGAAAAACAAAGCTTCCTATAACAAATGAATCTAGTAACTACAGGATGAAATAAATTTTTTTTAAATTAATATATAATGTATTACTTGCCCCCAGGGGTACAGGTGTGTGAATCATCAGGCTTACACATTTCATAGCACTCACCATAGCACATACCCTCCTCAATGTCCATAACCCCCCCACCCTATCTCTACCGTCCCAACGCCCAGCAACCCTCAGTTTGTTTCCTGAGATTAAGAGTCTCTTATTGGGGCACCTGGGTGACTCAGTGGGTTAAGGCCTCTGCCTTCGGCTTGGGTCCGTGATCCCAGGGTCCTGGGATTGAGCCCCACATTGGACTCTCTGCTCAGTGGGAAGCCTGCTTCCTCCTCTCTCTCTGCCTACTTGTGATCTCTCTCTCTGTCAAATAAATAAAATCTAAAAAAAAGAGTCTCTTATGGTTTGTCTCCCTCCCGATCCCATCTTGTTTCATTTTGGATGAAATAAAATTTTATCTTTGAGATTTTTATGTTTTATATTCACTAGAAAAATTTTTATACACAACCTTCCTTTTATTTGTACTCATTTCTACCTTACTATATAATAGGTATTCTATTTTATTTTATTATTTTTAAAGATTTACTTGATAGTGAGCAAGAGGGAGAGAGAGAACTCCAGCAGACTCTGCCCTGAGCACAGAGCCTGGCTCGGGGTTCAATCCCAGGCCCCTGAGATCATGATTAAGTACTCTATTTTAAAAGTAACAAAACAGATTCTCTAAACATTTTTCTATAAGTCAGATGTTTTATGGTTGCATGGCATTCCTTGCTTTGAATTAATAAGATTTTACTTTACCAACACTTCAGTATTAAACTTATTAGAAAAAAGTCCCACAAAGGAAAATTTGATACACAAATTTCACTAGTAATATTTCTTGCAAATGTTATCGAAATGATAAAAATCTGCCACAACTGTCTGGCAATCTAGCCCATTTGTTTCAAAAGGGAATCTGTATAATGATTAAACTGGGTTGCGAAAGACGGACCAAGTTAAAACAAACAAAGTCCTTCTGTCATCATTTTCGGGAAAAGATACTTTGGAGAAAGCAAGAATACTCAAATCATCATGAATAATATTTGCATTTTAAGTGCAAGGAATTTTGTTTGTATTATAGAGTCAATACTGATAAATGATATTTGAAAACCTTTGGCATGCTTTCCTTGTAGAAAATGTTTTTTTAAAATAAAGGATCTTGGGTGGCTCAGTCAGTTAAGCTTCTGACCTTTGGCTCAGATCATGATCTCAGGGTCATGAGTTAGAGCCCCGCCTTGGGCCTGCACTGAGTGTGGTGCCTGCTTAGGGTTCTTTCCCTCCCTCTCCCTCTGCCTTTCTGTCCCCAACCCATGTGCTCGGTCTCTCTAAAAATATAAAAATAAAAATAAAATAATGGATCTCAAAGGTCTTCAATAAAACCAAAATTCAATTTACAGATTTTCAAGTGTGTTTAAACTTTTCATCTGTCTTTTAAACATGATTCAGAGGTGGATTCTTCCTCACATTTTAAAATTTTTAGGGAGTCTTTGGCTTTTATACAAATAAGAATCTTTAAAAGAAGAGAATCCAGGTCTAGCACAAATTTTGGTGGTCACCCGATCTTCCTGCTAAATGCCACATCAGTTCTGCCCTCAGGACCGAGCCCAAATGACTTCACTTAGTTTCATAAGGCCCTTCCTGATCTGGGTCCTACTTGGTTCTCCAGCCAAGTAGCTTAGTTATTTATTATTCCCCAAAGTCACAATGGCATGAAGGTGTTCCTAGCAGGGGACTAAAGAGTCAAATACTATGATTATTATTATTATCATTATTAACCTATTTATACCCTCAATTTGGTATGTTTTCAGAAATATTGGCTATTTTGGGTTACTGCTACCAGTCCTGCAGAAAGCAGCCTACTCTGTCTATTTAAGTGCTCGGCCATAACATCAGTGTGAGAGGGAATATTGGGGCACAAACTATATCTAATTGGGAACCTCCTAAATAAATCTCTCTCATTAGTCACTTGTCTTCCTATATATTTAAATGGATTACAAAAACATTTAGCTACAATAGTTTACTGAAACAAAGTCTTAAAAAAATTCCAATGTGTAAAATAGTATAGAGGTGTTCCAAGTGAAGCACAACGGGTGATCCTGCTGTCTGCCTCTCTTCCCCACGTGCATCCCCAGGTGGCCCTTGAGGAAACTCAATGGGAACTCTGGGGTTCCAGGACATGTGGTTTAAAAACTATTGACTTGGGGTGCCTGGGTGGCTCAGTTGGTTAAGTGACTGCCTTCTGCTCAGGTCATGATCCTGGAGTCCCAGAATCAAATCCTGCATCAGGCTCCCTGCTTCTCCCTCTGACCCTCCCCTCTCTCATGCTCTCTTTCTCTCTCTCTCTTAAATAAATAAAATCTTAAAAAAAAAAAAAAACAAAACTGTTGACTTAAAGCACCAAACAACCTCTTCCACGTGTTCTCGTTTCACTTGGTTCATTCCTATTACTTCCACCAACATTTCCAACTCCAGCTTGAAATTAGTTTTTCAGTTGATCAAGCCAAACTTGGGGTACAAGCACAAACTTTGGTGGTCACCCGATCTTCCTGCTAATGCCACATCAGTTCTGCCCTCAGGACAGAGCCCAAATGACTTCACTTAGTTCATAAGGCCCTTCCTGATCTGGGTCCTACTTGGTTCTCCAGCCAAGTAGCTAAATTATTTATTATTCCCCAAAGTCACAATGGCATGAAGGTGTTCCTAGCAGGGGAATAAACAGTCAAATACTATTATTATTATTATTAACCTATTTATACAGGTTATAGGAGGAGAAAACAATCTCATTTCTCCTTATGCCCAAGAGCCACTGCTTTAGCTGCAAATTAAAGTTCTCTCCCACATGATTTGGGCTGTCAACACCAAATCCTCTATAAGTCCCTTGTTCCTTCACAATCTTGTACTTGTATACCACATCTGAGACTCTGGTATCCCCACATTGCTTAGAATTCACCACAGACTGCAAGAGGCCTGGGAGAGGATAATGGAAAAGTGAAAACTCTAGATGTTTACTTCAGAAAACTTTTGCACATCTGGATAAAGAGACCAGTACAGGAATGCAAGTCGTTACAACCACTTTGGAAAACAGTGTGGAAGTTCCTCAAAAAATTAAAAATAGAGCTACCCTATGACCCAGCAATTTCACTACTGGGTATTTATCCCAAAGATAGAGAGGTAGTGAAAAGAAGAGCTATATGTACCCCAATGTTCATAGCAGCAATGTCCACAATAGCCACAATGTGTAAAGAGCCCAGGTGCCCTTAAACAGATGAATGGATAAATAAGATATGGTCCATATACAGAATGGAATATTACTCAGCCATCAGAAAGGATGATTACCCAACTTTTGTAACAACTTGGATGTAACTGGAGGAAATTATGTTAAGTGAAGTAAGTCAAACAGAGAATGTCAATTATCATATGGTTTCACTTATTTGTGGAACATAAGGAAAAGCATGGAGGACATTAGGAGAAGGAAGGGAAAAATGAAGGGGGAAAAATCAGAGTAGGAGATGAACCATGAGAGGCTATGGGCTCCAGGAAATAAACAGAGAGTTTTAGAAGGGAGGAGGATGGGAAGAATGGGTGAGCCTGGTGATGGGTGTTAAGCAGGGCACATATTGCATGGAGCACTGGGTGTTCTACAGAAACAATGAACCATGGAACACTACATCAAAAACTAATGATGTACTGTAGGGAGACTAACATAACACAATAAAGAGAAAGTTTAAAAAAATCAAAGCAATGCTATTGTCTCTAGACATTTGCATCAGTAGTAATAACATAAACATATGATTGTGAAAGACAAATACTACATCAGGATATTAGCTATATCTGGAAAGAGAAGGAGAAAAGGGGAAGGGGTAGGAAAAGGATTTATAGAGTGCTTCTACAATATACATTATCTTTTGTTTTAAAGGAAGATCTGAAGTCAGCATGACAATATTTTACAAACAATTCAGTGAAATTTAGTGGCAGTTATAGTGGGATTTGATAGATCAGTTGCTGTACTTTCCTAAAAGTTTGGAATATTTCATTGGGGGGGAAAAGACGGTTTGACGTAAAGCAGGCTTGAATTCAAATCCTGCCTCTACCTAAGTCGGTATGTGACTTTGGGCAAATTAATGAACCCTTAAGAGCTTCACTTTCATTGTCTATGAGATCAAGTGATAATGCCTCATAGAGCGTATGGGAA